CTGATGTTCCGCACTTGATGTGAACATAATTTAATTGTTGTTGTCAGCTTTGTGCCTAAAGTTTTATTTCTTTTTAAAGGTCAGCTACTTATAGGTCCACACAGATCAAGTCATTGTGTGCTCTTGTCCTTCATTTGTACAGTAGAAACGTCTTCACACATATTTGTTCTGCATCTGTTCTGGATAAATGCAGGCCTTCGTTTGAGTGACATACTGGAGCGGAGTTAGAATGATGTACAAAAAGACAAAAGTGTCTCCTAAACAGTTTCTAGAAAAGTCCTTATTGTACACGGAATAAAAATTATAAACGCAACACTTTTGTTTTTTTGCCCCCATTCATCATGAGCTGGACTCAAAGATTCTCTATGTACAAAAGGCCTATTTCTCTCAAATATTGTTCACAAACCTGTCAAAATCTGTGTCAGTGAGCACTTCTCCTTTGCCGAGATCATCCATCCACCTCACAGCTGTGGCATATCAAGATGCTGATTAGACAGCATGGGTATTGCACAGGTGTGCCTTAGGCTGGCCACAATAAATGTCTTGAGTTCAGCTCATGATGAATGGGGACAAAAACAAAAGTGTTGCGTTTATAATTTTGTTCAGTGAAATTCTTATTCCGTTTTTGGGGACAGAGCCAACGATGATTCAGTACTAAGCATGGAGACAAAAGTAGGACTTCTTTAATAGCTGCATCTATAAATCCATTCTTTGTCGGGGCGACATGTCTAGACAGGGTGAAGTCAGCGTCGAGGACCACACAGCCTTTCCCTCTGCAGTGCTCTCTCCTTTCAAATGCCTCTAACTTCAAATAAAGATGATGTCTCACTTTTGTGCCTCTTGCTTTCTGAACTGCTGCTGCACTCGGACTCCATTGCTGCTCGGAGAAGTTTTATTGTCTTCTAAACTCCACAAAGTCACAAGGAAGCAACTAATTTAGAGACATTAAGAATCCTGATTTTCCTGTATGACTCTCTGTAAAGACATTTGTGCTCTGTATAATTCAGGAGATGCAGAGAAAAAAGCATGATATAGGGTAATGTCGGGTATAAATCCAGCCCACAGGAGAATACAATCTTCCAGAATGCGTGCCATGCATTTATAACTCCAGCATACCTTTTTTATGTGCTTCAAAAATGGTAACTACGCCATAAAAAGGGACTCTGACTACCCAAATCAATACCATTTTAGTTTTATATTCAGTTTTAGTCTGCACAGTCAATAATCCCTGATACCTGAGTTATCTTATCTCCTCCGTGGAGCCATTTGTTTAGCGCCTGGAGCCGGATTGCCTGCAGAGTCTTGGCAGGAGCAATGCTGATACGTGTTTTGTTGTAAAGTGATGTGATGTGAAAGGTATGGATGAGAGATGACAGAGAGGAAGTTCTTTATTTTCTTTGTCTTCTTATACTCTGTTGATGTTGGATCTGCTTCAGAAGGAGAGTGTGACTCACCTGGGCAGATGCCATGTTCAGGAGATTGGAGTTTGAGTTCTACAAGTGTTTGTCAGAGGAAAAGCTGCTCTGAAGGCAGAAATAATATCACTGTCTGAGTTTAAATGTCAGCTATTCTGTAATAGGCAAGCACACAAAATAGCTGTCAGGCACAGGAGTAGAGATCAAAACATTTTCTCGTTTAATTAAAATCATTGACAATGTAGTTGAAATGTCATTCACCGTGTTCTCACACTCAGATATCTTTTGAAAGAAATGTGGACTACGTGGATTGTACCAACTTGGTGAAAATATGACCAGATTCCATTACCAGAAATAACTCATTCTAACCTAAACCAAATAATTATAACTTTACCTACCTTTAACCCCAAAAATTTCACAGCAAGTTTGTAGTAATTTGACAAATGTGGAACATAAATTTACTATAAAACTTCCATGTTGTAGCACTATAACACAAAATAGAGACAAACACTTTTTATACAATATGCTTTAAAAACGTGCCTTTCTGGAAATATTATTAATCTAAAAATGTGAATATTCCTCTACTTGATGATATAACATCAAAAAAAGAGAAAAAATCTCATGATCATTATTAGTATTATTAACTTACAAAAGTGGACATTGTCAAATGTATAATGTTTATTTGTAGAACGCTTTTCACAGACATGAATTACAAAGTGCTTTGCCATGAATGAAAACACAGAAGATAAATTGACCACATGAAGAGGGAGTGAAATAAAAAACACAGGACGTAGTAAATATACATAATAATTACACAGTACTTTCCAAAATACATAATAAAGTACCCAGTATGAGGTAAAAAAAAACCCAACAACAATAAATCGTAAGTAATAAAAAATATACAATAAATACATAAGATGCAGACCTGATGCATACAGATTTAAACAGGTATGTTTTTAGCTGGTTTGTAAATGTTGATTGTATCTTATTTTCAAGTTCATTCACTTTATGTCTTGAATGTAAACTTTCATCGGCTGGTGCCTCTCAGTTTTTAGTCCTGTTTAGTCCCAAACTGTGTCAAGTAGTTCACCTGGACTGAGAATGACCAAAATAAAACCAAAAGGAAATGTGTAGAGCCAAACAAGCACAGCTCATAACTCGGGCTACAGGGCAAAATATAGAGATACGCAGGAGAAATTAAAATATAACGAAACGTTATTAATTTTCCATCTCATTTTCCATCTCTCGGTTCACTTGTGTTGATTAAACATCAAGTCCTTTTTTAAGACTTGAGACTAAAGGTATACAAAGTTTTGCCCCCAGGGCCCTGAGACTGACTCTGCTGGTGTAAGCAGAGTCAGTCTCATCTTTTAAAAACTTCTTAACTTTCTGCATATTGTTAGTGAAAATGAAGCAATGAGAAAAGTACTAGTCTAAAGAAAGAGCAATGTATGAATAAGTATATTTAACTATGCCATGGAAACAGGGAGTTAAATATAACATGCCTGTGTTTGCAGGGAAAAAACATAAAAAAATAATCTCCTCCTTTTTGCGGCAGTAGAAGAGTATTTCTTTCCTTTTCATCTCATGAGCACATGGTTTAAAATTCAGGTAACTCCAAGGTCAGTTCTACCATTATTTGAATTCACTTTTCATTGCTTTTATTATTAAATACATAACAAAAACTTCTGTTTTCTCATTTGCCTTCTATTTGACTCTTCTGTCAAAAAGTATTGTTTTCTCTCTAGTCATTCTCATATTCTTAAAGGATAAATAATAATAATAGTTTTGACTTGCATGCATCACTCAAACTATGTTGTTGAATGCTCAGTTTTGATTTATTGCCAGATCCGATTGATTGACTGTTCACATTATTTTGTAAATGTGGCCCTGTCAAGCTCCAGTGTGAACTGAAAGTGACCCGCATGCGTAAAAGAATAGTACGACGTCACGCACAGCACGATGTAGTACGGAATTAAACATTGAGGCTACAGAGGTTAGCGTCTACGGTTTTATTTTTAAGTTGACTTCTAGAGATGAGTGATTAACTAGAAAGCAAATGATAACGAGATCGAGGACAAGGACAAGGAGAAAGAGAGTCCACTGACTACCTTGATTTCTGCTGTCCTCCATATTTGCATTCACCGCGGCTCCTGCTAGCGCACAGTCGTTACGATGGCCGCTCTAGAGCGACTTCAGATTCACATGAATTCTGATCTGACAGTCCAGACTGAGCTTGCATTTCAAAAGCTCCGGCCTTTATCTGATTTGGACCGCAAATGAAAGTGGCCCAAATCCAAACTGAAAAAGATCAGTTTACATGTGACCTTTTTGTCTGATTTTTTTTTGTGATTTGATATCGGTTTGCTTTCCACATGTAATCTCTCCAAAATGTCTGTCATTTACATTTATCCTTCGGAAAGAACACTTCTTTTCTTTCTAACACCCCCATGTGATCTGCCTCATTGTCTGTTCTCACATGCTCAACACGCAACTCTTCACCTGCAGAGCCCCGTTGTTCTGCTTTTCACTGTGTAGATAGTTATCTCGGCACGGATGGATCACTTTAAGGTGCGGCTCACAGTGCCAGCCAGACACAGATACCATCAGATAAAACACCACGAGGTGTTCTCCATTGTTCTGCTAATATTGGCTTCTTTTGGACGACCCTGCTGAGCTACGTTCTGTGTGTATATACCATAAACTGTATATACGGGTCTGTGAGTAGGTGGGAGGTAAGGGATGGCATATACAAGCGTTTATCTAAAAGAAAGAGGAAGATCAAAGTTTTCTGAGTTGAGAAAATACACAGAAAGTTCCTCAATTAAATCGGACTTTTTGAATTTTTCTTTTGTGTAACTATTCTTTAGTAATTGCTGTGGCCCACACTTGTTGCTCTTTGCCTTATGTTGTTGTTCTTTTGTATATCTTTCAAGAGGCTTTGAATGCCCTCAAACGTTATTCAAATATTATGACCACGTGCATAAACATTCATCAGCTCTTTGCCCCCCTTTAGTGAAGTTTAACACTTACAGAAGAAACAATAGTGCTGAGTTGAAATGATTGGACAAAGTTCCTTTTTTTGAACTGAGAAAAAAAATCAGAGATGCTTTTATCTTGGATTTAAACTACTGACCACTGACATATAATTGTTTTGCAAAACATGTCCTTGAATGTAATTGAAAAGTCTTTATAGATCCTATACATGTCCTTAAATTTCATGTTCAACTTTATGTAGCCTGTTTTAAATTGAGTGTTTTCCAATTTAAAAACCTGCTCTATAGATTAGGGCTTTTATTGTTACAGTAATAAAACATAAACTTAAGTTTGTTAGCTTGTCAGCTTTAGGATGATACCACATCTATATGTCTGAATCCAAAAACCAGAAAAGTAAAATAAGGCAAGGCGTGATTAAAAACAAAAAGAACTTTTCCAGGTATTACATCTTGGTGATGTAACCACAGTACGGCTGTAGTAGCAACGTGTTACCAAGTGTGACTTTAATGGTGGCTTGATGTTAATCTGTGTACAGTGTGAAGATGTAAGAGATATAATCCTTCCTTCCTGTGTGTGTCCTTCCTGCAGCATGCAGCTCAGACTGTCAGCGCTGCACGGCAGATCTTATGACGGGCATCGGCAGTGTTTGTCTGTGGTGTAAAGCGCCGAGGAGCTGGCTGCTGGGCGATCACTGCGTCTCCCACTGTCCCCGGGGCCACTACGCCTGGCATGGAGCCTGCATCAGTAAGGACTTTTACTCTCCTGCCTATACACACTACATAACAAGTTCAGAAGTTAGGCAGTAGCTGTCCTGAATCTAAAACATGTAGGAAGAATCCCATGAAAGCTTTTATGTTTTATTCATTAGTCAGATATCTTCAAAATTGACCTAATTTTTTGACCTGGTAGGAGATCTTTCTTGACCCTTTCATCAACAGCAAACAGAAGAAATATTAAATTCAAGGACAATTTTTAAAGAAAGATTCTGCTTCATAAATAAGTCTTTACTCTTGTTAGAGTTCTCAGAGGTTTCAGTGCATATGATCACAGGCTATAGAAGGACATAAGAAAACTACTCACAGATACTCTCATTGATTTTCTTATGAAGCCCAATAGTACACCAAATCCCCAGAATTTCCCCAGCTCACGGCTGATTTTTTGAAGCTCAACTGTAAACTTTAGAGATTCAAAACAATGACTGGGCAGATATTTGAGGATTAGAAGGAGTTACTGTGTTTGAGAAAAGCTGTATTCATGTTTAAACAGTTAACTGGACGTGATTGTATAAAAGGCTACATCTATAAGACAAAAGTGTTTCAGTTTATCACTAGTTGAGGATCAAAAAACAGCATCATCATTCTCAGTATCTGTTATCCACTTTCTTATCCTGCTCATCATCATCATCATCATCATCCTCCTATGTTTCAGCAGTAGCCTCTGCCTCCACACAGAGCTGCTGTAAATCTGCACACAAATGTAAATGCAGTGTGTGAGCAGGAAGCTCCAGGCTGTAAGAGCCAAACCTCAGGAGTCTCATTTAGCTGAGACCTAGGCACATGATTGCGGGGACAGACAGATAAACAGACACACACACACACACACACACACACACACACACAAATATAAAGAAACAAAGCGAGATAGAAATAACGTGTAGATACATGTACACCCACAAACAAGCAAATAAACATCAGGCTCTATGATGAATTTAGCTACATCGGTGAAATGTGAAGTTTCCATTTTTTTTGTGTGAGTTGATAAGTATTATGTAAGGCTGCATTTAACCAGTGTGTTGTGGCGAGGTGTGGGGAGTGTGAGAATGATTAGACCCTTGATAGTGATTAGTGAGACTTATGAATATGTATTTCTAAACTCAAGAATGTGGCTTTAATCAGAATGTGTGCATGATTTTCTTTAATCAGGGACTTGATTGATATTTCAATCATCGCTTTTAGTCATCCAGTTTTTATATGAGTTTCAAGATTTTCACAGTGGGCCTATAATGACGGCACTGATTTCAAACTGCATATACTGTATATCTGCTTTCCTTTTATAGTACTTTCATGGTCTTTATTGGTTCAGTAGTTATGTTAGTTCCCAATACAGCATTATTTTGCTGTCCTCTGTGTACCTCATTCATATATTCTAAGCAGTAGGTTAAAGGGCGGGTATAGACGAATCACTGTGACGTTGCACTAACAACAGTCACTTTCGGGTAGACAACTGGAAGTTATTTTTACAAACATATGTAAAAAATCTGCAAATGTCTTTATTTCGGTTTTTATTTTCAGCCATAACTAACTTTTAAACTTGTATAGTTACACGGTGCTCCGACCTATCTGTTGTTTCTGCTGTGCTTATTTTATATATTGTGTTGCTTTGCTAACATTTCTGATAAACCCAAGTCTATCCAACCGCGACATCTCATCACTTGTCAGGCAAATTTTGTGTAGGCGTAGAGAGTGGAAGTGATAGCAGAGTAGGTGGCGTGGCTGGAGGCAGTTGAGGTTAGTGGAGCTGGCAGATTGGCCAGGAGCAAACAGGAGACAAAGGTTTGCAGGCACGTTTAGCAAAAAGCAAGGCATAAACAGGCAGCTCACGGGAGAACAAGAAACTTGGCCAACTTACTATTGTTATGGCTGAATCAACAATCTGACGAGGAGTAGGTGGCGGCCTGGGGTTCTTATACAGCGGGAAGGTCAGATGAGTAGGTGGCAGGAGAAAGCCACACCCACGCTAACAGACACACACATACACAGAACAGACAGGGGAGACAGGAACGCAGGTGAGAGGGGAAAACACCACACAACACTGGGGACTAACCCAGCATGATAATGTTAGTGAAAGAAAATGTTTTTTCCCAGGATGCCATCCGTCATGTGATGCCTGCAGTGGGGCGGGGCCTCTCTCCTGTACTTCCTGTCCCACCAACAGCGTTCTGTTGCCCTCGGGTGTCTGTGCTCCCATATGTCCTCTTGGTTACTATGACAACGGTCACAGGATCTGTAAGGGTAAGTGGGACACCACCACTGCGTCTTACCTGAAAGATAACATTTAACATTTTTGAAGAACCAGAGATGTCACTACATGCAGTCTAGTAACACCTCCAAAATAATTACAGCTGAGATCAATTTGTGTTGCAGGTGATCCCTAATGACTTGCAGAAGGTGGACAAAATAATAAAAGTACAATAGTCCTTTAGTAAATACCAGCTCATTTTGTTTTGAGACTCTCTTGATTCAACTTGACCTGCAATGGAAGCAGCAACTTTGCAATGTTTGTGCCTCTGTAAGTTTCGTTATGTTGCCTTGAAAACATTTAAAAACAGCAACTGTCAGGCGTTAATTCAACTTGACACATACTGCTTACTGGTATTCAGAATAATTTGGAACTGAACTAAAAAGCACTCAGACAGTGCATCCCTCTGCCAATGCTGCTTAGTCTTCTAAATCAGTCATGGGATGCATGTGCCAGAGTTTTTGCAGTTAGTTATTGACTGAAAGGTGTGCAATTTTTCATAAATGCCCATACTTGGCGTATTAAGAAATCCTTTAAAATATTCCTGGATCTTCACACAAAAGACAAGAGACATATTTATCTCCTGATTTTCTACCAAATTTACTTTGTCCTGTTTACTAGCCGGTAAACAAACACAGTCTTGTTGGATGTAATAATGATTCGGTATCTGCAGCCTGAACGGAACAAGAGTCCAGCAAAGCCACATTCAGCCGGTATATGTTGATGGCAGGTGTTATTACATTCTGTCACTGATCCTTTGCCCTCTGACCTTAAATCTAACCAGACCTCAATGTCGACCTTTTTGTTTTCGTTAGCATGTGACAGCCAGTGCCTGACGTGCGACACGGCCGAGATTTGTACGGCATGCCGCGACCCGGCCAAGGTGCTGCTGTTCGGAGAATGCCAATATGACAGCTGCGCCCATCAGTACTACCTTAACACCACGACCCGGGCCTGCAGAGGTACGCCGCTGTCGCCATGACAGCCCCCGACACACTGCAGTGGTGGAGGATTGGGGTGGGGGGAAACACTGGTTAATAATGAGGATATGTAGTGCACCCTTTATGATATTCATGAATTATTCTCCACTCATATTGCATGTAGTGAAGTGTGCTACATTGAGTTTATGGGGTCCATTGATCAAGTAATAAACTGGGGGACCAAATATGCAAATCCTAAACATTGTGTGTGCGTTCTAGCTCAGTATTAACACCTTCCAGTGTGCAGTGAAGTTGATGAATGAGCCTCGGAAGATCCATGTCCAGACTGAATAACTTGTCCTTTTTTCATTCTGCATGCAATAACTCTGTTCGTATATATAATTGTCCACTAAATAGCCCAGGCCGCATCCTGTCAAACTGAATCTGACTCCGTTTTATTGCCAACTCACAAATAAGATGTGTGAAAATATGTTTTGCCTCTATTCTCCTTGGTGCTTATCTCAAACAATAATGCCTACATGGGATTTAGATTCAAAATATGGGCAGCCCAACAGTGTTGTCACTCTGGCTTAGCACAGATACTGACTTTAATTCAATAAAAGCCATTTCATGTAAAGCCTACCTCCCGCAAACATCACTTCTTAGACTCCCCTTTATCAGCAATTTGGTTCAATATAATGAGATTTTTCCAGGTATCAGGAACCCAAAGGAACCGGCCCTTGAGGTGGAACCACGTCTGTCAATGGATTAGCAGCTAAGCTAACTGATAATAGCAAGATACACAGTTTGATTTCCTGTGAGGCAACTAGAAGTGCCTCCAACAATGACAGGTGGTTTTAGCCATCCAGTCCGTGACGCAGTGTTTATCCCCCAAGCTAGCTGCAGCCGCTACCTGGATAATCCAATGAACCTTGGATGAACTCAGAGCGTTAGAAAGCAGCACTGCTAGCTGCTGTCTGAAAACTTAGAGGGCTTTGAGGAAACCCTGGGAGCTTTCAGTTCACAACCACAGGGAGAATTTCTCATAAACCCATCAGCGATTCTCCCAATAACCTACATTTGTTTCAGTTTATCAGTGATCTTTTTCTAGTGAGGAACCTCTATTTTACCTCTTGGCTCCGTTTGGATCCTCAGAAAGAGCAGAGTAGAGTAGAAGCCTTTGCCTTTGAATGTTTCTTTCTTCTACTCTCCCACTGTCACGTAAGACACAAGTAGGAACAATATATAAAACCTTTCAATGATTTAGAGTTAGAAAGTTACCAAGGACTTCACAAATACTAGTTAGTAAAAAAACAAAAAAAAGTTGACAAAATATACAAAACAAGGGTGCTAACTGTTAGCAACCATATGTACGTATGTATATGTGTGTGTATGTATATGTATTGGTTCCTAGACAATGTATCCTAGTTACTTTGGCGATCCACGGACTTCCCGTTAAAGCTCCTCCTGCAGGTTAACATTTCTTGAGTGAAATTTGCACTACTATTGAACTGAGTGACAGTTCATTTGGTGTATACATTCACGTTCCTCAAAGAATAAATTACAATAAATTTGGTGATGATATCACAAAATATTAACACCTACCACGTTCATGCTCATAACATGTTAAACTCCTTTCATAGAAATAACCAAAGAAATTTACTGAATTTACTTCACCCAGACTTCTTTGGGTCAGAAACAAACTTTGGACCTCGACTTGTATTGATCTTATAACTTGGTTTTCTTCACAATGAGAGCTGCTAGCGTGGCTGTAGACTCTTTGACTTGTCATTGTAATGATGATATGTTTTGCATTAGAACTGTGTATTATATAATATCGTGGTAAGTCATCTCTCCTTTGTAAAACCTGTGTCCTGCTGAACTTTCATTACAAACCTTAGAACACAGGGCTTTGTTTGTCCTAATGGTGCATAATTTTCTTGTCAATGTTAATTGTGTACAAACAGATTTGCAGGTGATGAGAGAGAAAGAAAAAAACACAAATGGGTTTAAAACAAATCCCCTGCTGAAAAAGAGTTTATTAATCTCTTTTCTCCCCCCCCCACCTCGCTTCTGTTCTGCTCTCACATTTTGCTCATGCCTTCAAAATCCCCTCACTTCTAATCCCAACCTCCCTACACACACTCACATACACCTCCTCCTCCCCCCCCGCTGTCCTCCATCCTGCTTCCAGAGTGCGACTGGAGCTGTAACGCCTGTAAAGGCCCTCTGCGGACAGACTGCCTGCTGTGCATGGAGGGATATGTGTTGCAAGATGGAGTGTGCACCCACGGGTGCTCCCCTGGCTCATTTCAGGACGGTGACAAATGCCTCGGTCAGTCCAACAGCAAGCAGATAAGCTGACCCACATCACACAAAAAAAGAAAAATACGTGCACCTGCAATAGTACTAGCTGCACATACAGTATATATCATACTTTTGCAATGTGTTACTATTATTTTTGTGCATTAGTGACCACTTAAAGTTGCTTTTCAGAGATTTCTTTTACAATCTATTTTTTATTAAAACAGTTATTGAAAAGGTTCCTTGGGAGACCACTGATGGTGTTTTGGTGAAAATATGGTTGTCTTCTGTTGAAGTTCTTCCTGCGAGGAACATTTACAGCTCTTATTTAATCTTAAACTGCCATTTAATAATACAACAGCAATGTATTTAACACATGCAAAATGTTCTCCTTAATGCCAAATGTTCATCGTTAAAATCAAAACATAGAGGACTAGGGATGAAGTACACGTGAATTTTGAGTTCTGTTAGAAGGAAAAGCTTTTTCATGTCTAAGTCCTTCACTTAGAAGCCACTACATCTTGTATCTTGGATGTCATTTTGGTTTTACCATTGAGTTTGATGCTTAGTGTGTGTGTGTGTGTGTGTGTTTCTGTCAGGCTGTGATGATCACTGTGTGGAGTGTCGGGGTCCTGGACAGTGCCAGCAATGCCAGCCTCCCTACGCCACCCTGCAGGGTCAATGTGTGCTAGAATGTGGCAGAAAATTTTTCCTGGATGCCTCCTCCCATAGCTGCAAAGGTAGAGTTAAGCCTTTGTTAAATACAATCCCTTTTTAAATCTCTAATTTTTAAAAACCTATTTAAGGAGTCAAAGACGTGATTTCAAAAGAGGGCGTGTCTGTATTAAAGAGAGGAGGCCTTACAGTGACTTTTGAGATAATTAAGGTTGCAGAAACAATAAATTAGAAATGAGAATATGAAAGTATAAACAAATGCACGTGCGGTTTAGCAATTCTAACACTCTTGCCTAAACTCCATCTTTTTCAGCTTGCTCATCTGACTGTGTGCTGTGTGACGGTGTTGGACGCTGCAGAGCTTGTCGTGAGCAAACCTACCTCATGGAAGGATACTGCACACCTGACTGTGGACATGGATACTATGCCGACCATAAGACCAGGACCTGCCATGGTAATTGCATGAAGTCTGTCTGTTTTATGTTTAAATGGAAAAAATGGTAATTGTCCCATAGCACAAAGCGACCACAATTACCAATAGAGGGTCGATAGGGCTAAGAGCTGTTGATCAATTGGTTTGACTTAATAGTTATTTGATCAGGGCTGCCATTTCTGCCTGCTTTCACATAAAGGACCAGTGTGCGCCCTTCCCCTCACTCTCCCGTTCCAAGAGTTTAGGAGAATCTGTGGTGGCTGCGAAACTTGCAAAAAACGCAAAAGGCCATCTCTAGAGCCAGTGTTTGTTTTGTCTGTTCTGGGCTACTGTAGAAATATGGCGCCGCAACATGGCAAATTCAGTCGAAAGAGGACCCGCTTCCTATGTAGATAGAAAGGGCTTATTCTAAAGTCACAAAAACACTAATTTCAGGTGATTATACACTACTATTCTGCCAATATTTCTGCCAATATCCCTTCAATATCCCAATAACACTTCTACACCTTACACATTACTCCAGTAGTCAGCATTTTGATATTTCGATATAATACTCCTCATTAGATGTCTTTGTAGTTTGTTGTTGGATCTCTGCAAAAACTAGTTGCCGTTAAGCTCTTAATCTTTCCGTGCCAGTGACGGGTCACATGCAGTAGGCTTGTTTTTAGTAAAAGATACATTCTTTTAAAGCTAAACAAAACTTTAGAGATTTAGAGAGATTAGAGATAATTTTTTCTAAAGCAAAGTGCTGTACGTGTTATGTGCTGTGCAAAGCATGTGGAGTTGCAAGACACATCAAATAAATGTTAATATGCACATTATAGTCTGTCTTATCTCACATAAGTCCAAATACCACAATGGTGAGGGGATTTTTATTATATGCAAATTAAGTAAGAAAGCCACATAAATAATGCAAATAATCTCAAGACGTCACATAAAAACAAGTCCACATGGCTGATCCACATGGCTGGTTGCCAGGCAACAGACTGGCTTACAGTGGTAAACAGAAATAAAAAGAGTCGCCGACCTTCCGATTAACGGCCAACCCACTCTACCTCCTGAGCCATAGCCGCCCATGAGAAAATATGTGTGCAGTTCTCACTCTCTAATTCATTTCACAATGTATCCATAAAAGATCACCACAGGCAAAGTGCAAACAATGGAACAAACTACAAATATCACTTTTACTTTTCTAAACACTTTCAGCAGATACAGAGCAACATGAGCATTCATTTAGAGTTGTGTTTCTGGCCACCTGATGAATGTAAGTCCAGTATTCACTTTTCTTTTCATATCCACAAACTCCTAAAGCTGTGTAGCCCTGCAGAGTTAGTGATAATAATCCTCTGTGGGTTCATTACTGCAAGTTACACAAAGGTCTTTGATTCGTTGGTAAAATAAAAAATATCATAAGTGAGCTTTAAAAGGAGACAACAAACTCAGAGCAATGTATTTCCACTCTGTAGCTCCTCTTTCAGTGAGTGTGGTTAAAGTCACGTTCTGTTATTAGCCGTCAGACATTTGGAAGAACAAACTGCTAACATTACTGTCTGACATTTGGAGTTTCTTATTAGTAACATCCTAATTGGTTCTTCTGAATGAACACTGAAAAGAGCATTGTCTTTAGTCAGGTTATTAGTGGAGTCCTTTTTGGGCTTTTATGTTCTAACAGTGGCTGTCAGCCGTCAGGTAGAGAGGCCCGGGGCCTTCAGCAGCAGACTGTGGTTGTCAGATGATTTGTGAATTTTGACTAGGGAGACAACAGTAATTAAGAGCGAATAATCAAAAGTGACTATTATGAAATTGTTTTTAACTTTGTTATGGCTAGGCTAGCAGACCCAAGTGCAGGACTGAGAAAGGAAGGAGTAACATGAAAGAGAAATATTTATTGTGGGGTTAAAGGGATCGGATATTGAGCAGGGGAAGAGCGAGGCAGATTGTAAATAGATGCGTGCCGAACCAGGTTGGTGGCTGCTGTGCAGAGCAGGGGGAACTGAGAGTCTGATCTGAGCAATAGTTTAGCCGGACGGGGGTCCAGAGAACAAACGGGATTTTAAAATGCTCCCACACAGCTGAGGGCTTCATTTTGTTTTCTGTTTGATGTGAACTGGAGTGTTACGTTCACTGTTGTGTGGAGGTCAGGTTCACGAAAAAAAACCCCTCAACATTCGAATGTCAAAATTGAAAATTGAATGTGTACCCAACGATTGAATATTCAAATATTCGGGTCCGGCCCTATTTTTGACAAAGCATAATTCTAATAGAGATTTATATATTCAGGTGTCCTTTGTGATGGATGCTTTCTTCTTGAACTTTTTTCAGCTTCTAGGCTTCAGCTAATCTACAAATTAATCAAGTGAATTCAACTGACTGTAAAGAAAAAAAATTTGTTTTGTTTGGTTTTTCGTTTTTGCCGACTAGGAAAAAAGTTGAGAAACTATTGCTAAATGAGCCTTATTCTCATTTGAGTTTAATTACATGACTGAGAGTCTGAGATTTTTGAGTGCCTATTGGCATCATTAGAGGAGATGTAATGTGGCCTCTCAAAAGAGCTGATCTTTAAAAAGTTCCCAAAACAAAAGTCACTTCCAATTAAAGCCAACTTCTAAAATGCCATGCCAAGACCGAGCTGTCTTGCTCGTATTTCACCCCCCGCCCCCCCTCCCCCAACTCTCCACACACACACACACACACACACACGCACATCCCCTACACCCACTCAATGTCGGATCGAGCTGAAATTTTAATTACATAGATTCGATGCTTTGAAATGCATTTGCAATAGCTTAATTAAAGTAATTATAGGCCGGATGTTTTTTATTGTGTTGTGAAAGTTTTGTTTTTTGAGTTTTCACTAAATTATAATATTTATTATGAGACCTGTCACTTTAATTTTCCTTTGTTTCATTTTTTCTTCAATTTTATTTTTAGCTTTTGTCAGTAAATCCATCTTTTGTTAATACACTTTAATGTTTTTATTTTAATAACATCTGTTGTTTCCAAAATGATTGGACATCCTATCCCAAAACTATAAGTTTACAAATATACCTTTTGAAGTGCGCTTTCAAAAATGTGCTGTTCTTGTCTGTATTTCTTATCCTTCTTAGTTTTGGACCTTTAAAAAAAAAATATTTCAGATTTGATATTAAGTTGTAATGGTCATTCTAAGAATTCTTCATAACCCCTATTTGCTATAATCTTGTTCATGGCAATGTGCACCAGACTTCTCTCCCCAAAGGAATCATTAAAGTATGTTATTTTGTATGTGATTCACTTGATGATGGAGATGGAAATGTGTTTTTGCACCTACAGTTTGGTTTTCAAGTCGAGTTTAGCTTTGATATAGCACCAAAGATCATTAATTTGAGTCATTCTTTCTCTTTATGTCCTCCTTCCTCCTCTCAGTCAACACCCACCCCCCTGCCCTCCAGGTGAATGGCTCCCTGCTGGTTCCCCTCGGTGGTTTTGCCCCGCTGCCTCCCACCCTGCTGCAGTTGAAGGACCCTGACAGTCCATCTGAGCGGCTGATCTTCCAGCTCGATCATGGCCCGAGTAATGGACAGCTGGTTGTGTTCAGAGGGGAGGAAGGAGAAGAGAATGGAGGCCAAAGGACATTAGGTCGAGAACTGACCAGGGAGGACACCTTCACCTGGGCAGAGCTGAGAACTGGCCGGGTTCGGTTCAGACACCAAAAAGACAAAGCTAGGTAGGTGGATCTGATGTGGTTTGTTAGTGTTCATGGAAAATAAGAAAGATAAATCCATCCAGAAAGTTGAGCTTCTGGTTCCATGATGATAACTAGACAGCCAGGTGACACATCCAGATGTTTCCAGCAGTTACAGAGATATTTAAAAGAAGCAGATCAACTGCTATCTAAAAGCTCAATGGTAAATGTCAGTTATTGGTGTCAGTTCCTCAGAATCCAAACACGAGGGCTTCCTTTCAGACTTGCCATTTTGATCTGTCAGTTAACAGTGACAGGAAAAATGTACACCCGGAGGAGCTGGAAATAAACTGGAAACTAATGAGCCTACAACATCTTTGATGTAAAATAAAGGGTTGGCTGTGGATGTGAAGATTTGTCCTCAAAGGCAACATATTATTATTGAACTTGTTATCCCGTGGTCATCATGTTTACCATGCATAACCGTGTGCGATTCTTTTTGGTCATGACGATGATCCATACAGTAACCATTTGCAGTTCAATACCACCTAAAGCAAGTTTAATTTTAGACTTGACTGTTTTACACGCAGAAACAATTGCTGATATTCTGGGATCAAAATAGGTTACTTAATCTTCCTATTGCTACACAAACTTGATCCTTGTAATGATCCACAAATAAATTGGGGTTTTGAAAATAACAGACTTGTTTGTGGGAACACCAGTGTCGAATGTCACCCGAACAATTTGTATCACATCATGTTGCTCATCACAGCCACACATCTACCTGTCTTGTAATTAAAAATGTGGCGCTCCAGGACAGACTCATTAAAAACAAGATTATGAGCACAGCCTTTCCCCCTGGTTATCTGATGTGTTTTGGATGGAGACACTGGGGAAGGACTGGCATAAACGGATGGTCCTGAGGGAGTTGTTAGCAGAGAGAAAGTTTTAATTAATGTATGATTTTTCAAGGAACTGTTTTCAATACATCTGTCACACCTGTTTTACCTGGTTTACGCTGCAATAGAAACTGTTGAATAATTAATGATAGCAACACATTTGGTGTACACAGGAGGATTATGTGTTTACTTTAACAGTCTGGTGCTGGTTGCACCAAATCTGACCACCAGATATGCTGTTCACAATAGTGGCTTGACAGTACAATCACTCCAATTAGAGATGGAACAAACACCTGCTGCCTTCAGATGGCTCTAAAGAGAGTCACCAGAGTAAAGGAAAGGCTATCAGTTTAGGCTACAAACTGTTGTTGATTGCAGAGCGGATGCGAATCATTCATTAATCCCCATCTCGTAGGATAAAAGTGGAAAACAAACAAAAACATAAGCTGCTTTGAGCAGGCGGGTAGCTGACTGCTTCTTGGCTCCAGGGTTGCACTCTGCTGATGGATTGGCATCACCACACCCTCTCCTACACATCTTCTCCCACTGTAGCACATGGGAAGTTGCCAAGATACCAAACCTGCACAGACGAGGAGATAACCTCATTGCAGCCTAGGAAAATACCAGTTTGCCAGGAAATTACTTAAAAGAGAGAGACAGAACAACAAACTGCTCATTTGTGGGTAAGCGAGACAGAAAGTATGCATATATGGACAGAAGGTGTACTTTTGTAGTATAATTCTGTGATTGGTCAATGAAGTGTCTGAAAGAATACATTGGAATGGAGAGTATAACAGGATTAACCTGTGGCAGCTGTCACGTCCTTACCTCCCTGTGGTGTTCAGTTTGATTTGGTTCAGTTTTTGGAACATTGAGGGGTGTAGCAAATGATCCACATCATTTTCATACCTGTCAAACCATTCGGTGAGCCCTCCTTCCCTCTATGGAAGAAACTGCTGTTATGTTTCTCCAAATAATTCATGTTTTCCTTTAATTAGTCACCTGTCTGTTTAACAGTGAAAAGCAATGCAAGGCTTGATTTTGCCAGACTGTCCAGCTTACACCCAACACTGAAAATGCAGTTGGTATCCATATACATTTCAGCATCAGTTTTAACAAGTCATGTCTCTTTTGAAATTAACTTTTTTTTAAAGTTGACCTTAAACACCTCGTCTCCCTCTTCTCCATCCATGAGTATCCTGACATTTCATTTCCCTTGTTACTGTCTGAGCTGCCTGGTAGGAAGCTGCATGTTTGCTTTTTGCAGCTTCCTGGTTAGAAAGTTAATTTCCATTAACCTACACATGGAATGGAGACTTAACTTCTTAATTAATGTGGCCACATTTGCATATGCATTTCTTCTGCATTTTCTAATGTATTTCACAGTGTGGTTACCCAGTGTGAGTGCCAGTGCCAGGGAGCTCAGCCTGGAGCCAGTTTTCCTCAGTACAGATGTTCTGCTGTGGCCTGTTTTTCTGACTCTGTGGCATTTTGGGTTGGAGCCCAATGTCGGTTCAGCCAATCAGAATCGACATATTTAACACATTTGTCAATTTTGATTCAGCTGGTCTGGCCTAAAATGGCAACATGCCAGTGAATTAGCAAAATATGGTTCACTGCCCAGTTTTGAGTCATTAGATTAAGTGAGACGTAAAACATAAAGCCCCTAATAGGATTAAATCTGCATGCTAAAGCCATATTTTTCAAATTATTTGGAGTGGGGGATAATGGCCACAGATATAAAGCCACAAACAAACACTCTCAGGTTTGATTCCCTTAAGACCCAGTATGTCCAACAGAGAGAAACATGTGTCCAAATGCTGTTGAGCAAAAAAATCCTATACATACTCACACACTGCAAGTCTCTGTGGATAAAAGAGACAATAAAAATTGAATATTGAAATGTGGTGGGCTCTGAAAGATGAACTGTATTCATTTAAATTTTCAAAACAAGGTATTTTCATTCATTACTGCCTCAGCAGATGATGTCAAGTGTCAAGACACAGACACAAACTGACTTTTATGTCTCAGGTGGCATACTTTACCACTGAGAAGTATTTATACACAGAGATCAAAAGCTTTTCCATTTTTGTGTCAAGGCTGCATTAAAAAGAATTCATCTTTCATTTATAATGAATCCAACAAATACACGGGCCACATTTATAGCATGCAGCATGAGATTTAGAGGTACTATGGCATTTTCCCCCAAGAAATATATTCCTTATGTTACTTTAATAAGCTGCCTAATACATCTTTAATGTTCCGCAATTACTCTAACCATAACAAATGCTGTAAAGCTGTGACAAATCTTACTTTTGCTGCCAGGAATTGTAATTCAAAAAGAGTTTTATCATTGTTGAAAGGCACTGTAAGAATGTGTTGATGAATGAATTTTAAAGAGGAACAGTTGCAGTAGGCTGGCCAAGTTTTTCACTGAGACACTGCACTGCTCTATTGTGCGGGCACTTGTCATAAAAGGCTCAAAAGGAGATTATGGCTATAGCAGATAGTAAATATACAGATGTGCAGTGGTAGAAAGTAATTAAGTACATTTACTCATGATTTACTTGTACTTGACTTGAGTATTTCCATTTTCTTCTACTGCAGTACAGTGGCAAGTTACTAGTTACAACTAGTGTAGATTCAGATTTATACAATCAACAAATACATTATGATGTATTATTATAGTTTAAAAGAAGAGAAGTATGTATTAATGATCCTCTGGGGGAAATCTACAAGCTACCCAGCAGTAGTAAGTAAATTAGCTCCATATTTCCCATCTGCAACATTAAAGTGATGAACACATGTATGCATCAATATTTATAATCCAGCAATATAAGTACATTGCGATGCTAATACTTTTGTAATTTTAGTTTAGAAACATTTTTTAGCGCATTATTTTTGCTATTTGTAACTAAGATAAAGAACTGAGTACTTCTTCCACCCCTGCAGATGGGTGACAAATGCAAAAAAAGGCTGACATAAAGTGTATTAGTAAGGTTGAGCCCCAAGGAACCTCCAGAACAGCTTCAGTGCTCGTACATTCTCCAAGTCACTGAACACCGTTCACCCAAACGATATTACCTCATTTGGTGTTTTCGTGATGGTGGTGTCTAACACACTGCTTCTAAGTTTCCCATAGGTTTACAGTTGAGCTGTGATCTTTTTCAAAAAACAATCATTAATCCCTAATGCAGTGTATGGAAGCATCAGCATTCATTATGGTTTTATCTGTCACCCATATATAAATGGGTGTGCATGCTCGTGCAACATGCCTTTGTTAATTAGATATACAACAAGACACATTTTAACTTTTAAAAAAACAACAGTATTTATTTTTGCATCATAAGGGAACAATGATGGACTTTACATGTGCACCTTATTATACATTTTCTGACACTGTGTTATCTGCCGGCTTGCTTAACTCATTAGGAGATAAATTCACCGCACCGAACAGTAAAAGGGTGCTGTTTTCACAAACCACTCACCAAACTGAATTTTGATACTGGGCATCTTTAAAATTGGTAAATGGACTGTACTTGCAGGGTGACATCTGCTAATCAGAAATAGAAACTAACATTCACACACACTGACGGCACAGCCATCGGGAGCAATTTGGGGTTCAGTATGTTGCCCAAGGACACCTCGACATGCAGCCTGAACCTGTTGATTAATAAATAACCCCTCTACCTCCTGACCCACAGCCGCCTTGGATCATTTTCAGTGATGGAATTTTTTATTTATTATTCCTACATTTTTTATTTATTATTCCTACATCTATCTATCTATCTATCTATCTATCGACACATGACAACTATGACATCGATCGACACATGACAACTACAGCATATTGTGGTATTTAGAAGGTCAGATAATTGACCCTTTAATTAAGGTTGGGTAAAGACTGTCATCAAAATTTTGATATTTGAAAAAGTAAACATTTATTGTTTTATCTTGTCGTAATTCCCTTTCAGTCGTCACTAAACCAACAACCTGCTCTGTCATTTGGTCTTCAGCCATAGTAGGCCATACCCCAGGCTCAGCCGCAGGGAGTTGTGGATAAAACGCCTCATCTTTGATGCTGAGGCTGTGAGTGTGTGTGAGCAGGTGTGCTACTGTGTTTATGTGCATGTGTTTGAAGCTACTATCCTCCACTCCCCTAGATCACTGAGGTGATTAGGTGTAATCACTCCACACTAGGTCAGCCTCGCAGGACTAATTGTCCCAGAAACCTTCTGAGCTAACTAAAGGCTGTTTCTAGGTCATGTTCATTCAATGTGGGTCTAGGAAAGAGCGAGAGAACACACTTAAATATTTTTGAATTATCTGATTTTAAGTGATTTATAATATCCTCCCTGTTTCTGTCTTTGTTTCTTTCTATAGGACTGGTGAGTTCACCTTGCGTGTCGCTGACCCCCAGTTGTTTTCTCAACCACAAACAATTCAAGTTCAAGCTGTGTCAATGCAGGTAATGTATAATAACACATACACCTTCTTCAGCTTTGCTTTATTTGATCTGGTACTTTTAATGACACTGACAGACATTTTTCTAAGAAGACTTTAAGGCTATAAATCATTGCATCATAACTGTATTCTCCCAGCAGAAAATGTGCTACAAATAGAGATATGTTTCCACTGTGCAGGTAAATTCACATAGAGACAACATAGACAATAGGCTGCCACAGCACATTTGTTTCCAAATTTAGTTTACTGTGAAACAGTAGACCGTCTTGGTCTGTATTCTGGGGTTAAAATGCCAATATGTCGATACTTGTTGAGAAAGTTTGCCTCAGAGTGAAAAGAAATTTAAAAAGCAGCTACCCTCCAGTTTGAGGTTGACTTTTGCTGCAGACATGAACAGGTAAGACACGTAGCATTAATTTTCAGTTTCTAACAACTTTATGCTGTATACTATTGTTCTTGTATTGATTCCCATGTGTTTTTAATTCTAAATCGTAATTGAGTTTTTGATGAGGCTATGGGAAAATAGCCACATCACATTCTTGTAAAATAAGTTAGTAGAGCACAAAACAATTTAATACTGTAGATTACAACTAGACAGCATATATAGCTAGTTAGAGACATGGTTAGCTTGCTAAGTCAGTCAGGTGAATTTGAGGCTAAATGATCTGTTCCCTTTAGTACAAAGGAACAAAATATCCCATATTTCATCTTTATACCAACACAGAAAGAGTCCAGTTATATTGTTTTAATAAAACATTTTTAGCACACAGTCACAGTAATCTGGTAAATCTGATGGCTCATTGTTAGAGTATAGCGTAGAGTGTACTGCATCATCCCAGCTGATCTGCATTCTTCACTGTTTTGAGGATCTATCTCCAGGAAGTGATGCATACACTGTGATTGGCCAACGTCAGCCTGACAGCAGGCTGTGATTGATGTCCTGCTGACCTTTGACACAAATATGAAAAATAATGAGGAACGAGGGATTAAAGGCTTTCTCTCTGAGATTTATTGACTGGTTAGCATGACAGCTGTGTTACTCTGCTCTGTGTGTGTGTGTGTGTGTGTGTGTGTGTGTGTGAGACAAAGCTAAGGGGATAAAATGACAGACGGTTGATAAAGAATAGCAGAACTGAAAATGTCTGCAACGAATATGTAATTACCTGAGTGAAAAGTATTTCATTTGTCTTTTGTTAGGAAAAACAAAATCATACGTATCTGTCTAAACCAGAAACTTCAAAGCAAAATGTCTTGTTTTAAGAATCAGCTTTGGTATAGTTAACTGAATCGGTATAAATAATAAATATAGTCTAAAAGGGGTATTCAATTAAAATTCAAAGAGGTCCAGTTAGAGAAAGTTTCCCGAAGCAAAGGTCCGGAACATCATAACGACTAATTTGGGTTATTACTCAGTGCCATAACGTATAGTTGTATCCGCATATGTTTTTAGTCAACAAAGGACTGTCAAATCAAATATTTCAACAATATTTAGGCCACTGTCAGTTTTTACATTAAACTGGAGAGATAATAAATAATAACTTCTCTGAAAATAAATTATAAATTTAATTAAACTAAAGGCTATATTTAAAAAAATTCACAAGTTTTTTAAAATGTGCATCTTAAAATAAAGTGGTGCTTAATTTATAATTCTTTAATAAGTGCTTAATTTCAGAAAAAAATAAAATAGAAAATTTAGCTTGAAGTGATTGAAGTGTAGTCTCAACCAATTTTATAATAAACACTCAACACATCTTAACTAATGAACAGCTTTAATACCTCCTCTTCCCCTTCATTCCCTCTTCTTCTCTACTTTCTCTTGTTCATTGAGAAACGGGAGCTGTGGCTTCTCTTGCCAGCTAGGATTGGAGATATATGAAATATTCTGGTTTTAAACTGCCCTTAGGAAGAATGTGCATGTAAGAATCTGTACATTCTTGATTAAAAGCCATGTGAAATCTCTTTTCTCACTCGCGCACTCGACTCGCAATCGGAATACACAGATTTGATTGGCAGAGTAACATCACATGAGACGATTGGAACATATGCAATTGGTCTGTGAGTTTCCTGGGCCGCTAACCCAGTACAGTATATGCCAGAAAAGCTGTGCCGGTTAAAATAGAAACGCTCCGTAGACGGCGGCTGAGTCTGGATCTGGACGATGGTCCACCAATTAGTGACTTCTGGTTTTAAACTGAAATAAACAGTTGGAAAAATAATATAGTTTATGCAGGTGAGTAAACCTTTTTTACACTCTGAGGGTCTGTGCCTTAAATATAAGGAATTTAAAAAAAACGTTTGTGCTATATCCTTTTCAGTGTTTAGCCACCATTGCAAGCAGATGCAAAGCTGCTTTCAGATGGTGATTGAGTGGAGCTGCAGCATTGGGGTCTGTTTGGGGGGACTGCTCAATTACACCATCACTTGATTAGCTCTGTCTAATCTTTCTCAGACAACAGTTGGTTTGCCATTTTTGTCCACCAGTTTTCTGCTATTTTTTATTTAAATAAAACTCCACAGCAATGGATTTTCAGTTGTTAACACCAGCCTTTTTCACAAACATTATTGTAATAGTGCAGCTAAACTACATAGTGAGGTTGTTCTGGTGGGTGGTTGAGTGAACCAAGTGTCTTTGAAAGAGGAGACCATTGTTTGCCTCCAATCTCCTATCAACAGTCTGTGTTGGTTTCGGTTGTGTAAATTTAACAAGACATTAATTATTATGTTGGAAGATCAGAAAACTGCCATTTCATTCATTTCTGGAACAGTTACATGGCTCGTTTTGAAGGCACTGGGAACCCACATAGTCTTTGAGTGACAGTATGAGGAGCTGTTGCTCTAATTTGAGATGTTGATCATGTCTTTTATGTACAGCCATAACTCCATCATCTCAAAGTCCATTCAGTTTGCATTTTTGAAAACAAACATTAACTCACTATGCTGTTTTTCAGTCGTTGAACATTTTCACTCTAAAAATGCAGCCACATATATTTTGCAAAGAAATCTGCAGCCACAGAGTCTCATGATTTCTCCTCTCACTCTACATCAAAGAACATCACAAATACTGATGTAACTTTATGTTTTTTTTGTTTGCACTAGTGTTGCAAAGAAAGATTCCCATAAATTCACCTTGCGTTTTCTTTAAAACATTTAATAATAATAATTTAAAATGTTGGTATTTATCCATTTTTATTACAGAAAATGTTATAATTTGTACAAAGAAACCACTCAATTTGTTGAAACCACAGCCAACATGTGCAAAATGGATTTGGATGTCTATGTTTAATTATCAGAAACACAACATTTAAAATGTATGGAGACAGGAAAAGACTCATATATGTCTAAATTAGTCATAATTGCATAATATACAGTTTGTACCAGCCGAGCTGGCACAAGCAAACCACATTTTCTATTGGTACTAATGCAAAGGCACTGTTGAACAGGTCGACTGTAAAGCACAAAGGCAAGGACTTATGCAACCCTCCCTGTCTAACTAAAGTCTGAGAAAGAAAATGTTGATTGAAATCCTCATCAGATCCTCAGCCAGCGGGCGTCTCAGATTGTAATAGCCTCAGGAATGAAAGATCTGAGCTGCAGATAGGCTTCCCCCTTCTGACAGGATTGGCTTCTTTTGAAAAAAAGTGTCAAAGAGTCTGGTATTTGCTCATGGCCTTTCTAAAGAGGTGGTCTCACAGATACAGAGCATATAGTACTTTTAGTCCACATGTTCATGTTAAAGTGGCCATCTTTAAGTTTCTGAGACTTTTTACTTTGCTTTGGTGATCTTTGACCCTACGTTGTCTTTACTGTGGACTTTCTGCAATGCCCTCAGCTGTCAGTCAAAACTGAGGCATCTTCTATCTTGGATTTTTTGTTGATAAAGTTCATGGTGTTCATGGTCAAGTTAAAAAAAAGGAGTGTAAAGTGTAAAGTACAGAACAAAATGGCATATGAAACCACGATGACAATAGTCAGTTGAATCATTTTTGACCATGGTTTCAGGTTAACAGGAGTACAGGAGTCTGTGTTGTGACTGCTTGACACAAAAACATGAGAAGAGAGCTGCAGATAAAAAGGCATTGTTACAAACCAAGAGGCTTACAGGTAGACAGGATGAAATCTACTTGGAAAACACTCTGACTGTCTGAATACCATCCAGCACGAACACAGCAGGGGAAAAAAATAAAATAAAGAGCAAAAGAAAAAAAAACAGGAAGCAGCACAAAAAAAAGCTTTTTCCATCCCCTTCAAGTGCTGCAGAGCCCCAAGGGCCCTACGGGTGACGACAGCTCTCTCCCAAATATGAACCTCAACTCTTCCTCGCCCGTAAGTTGAGGATTAAAGGTTAGCCCTCCTACCTGAGTGTGCCTGTGTTTGTTTGTATTCGCCGGCCTCCGGGGAAAGATTTCTCTGTTTGCCTTTAGTGAGCTAGCATGTCTTAGCACGATTTAAAAGCAGCATACACACCCATTTTCATCTCCCACCTACACATCCAAAACCTTTTGTTTTTCCCCCTATAAATTGCAGAAGTGACGAGGATTTAGGTGGCCGGCCAAGGGCCCAGCCGTCTGACTCTTGGAGATAGCTCCCCTGACGGATAAAGATTTGTCACCAAATGGCCTGCAACAGGACACATAGGGCAAAGCGGCTGTGGATAATAACATGTGCCCTCTGAGTTTTTAAGCTGTGTTTCAACTCTGTCTCTAGAAATTTCAGCCAAAGGTCACGTTGGCTCAAAGATGCACAGAAGTGTGCTTTGCTTAAGATGCTGCTGTAATGGCAATGAACTGGAGCTCAGCCAGGAGCCATCCTGAGCAACGAATTAGACCCAATCCCTGTGTCAGGCTGAGTGGCCCAAAGCCCCCCTACCTGACAACATGTTTGATTTAGGGCCATGGCCATGGTGTTGTTTAGTTTTTTCTTTACTTGTAGTCTTTCTTTGTTGCTTTCTGTGTCAGAAATCTATCCTGATGAGAATCTTTCATTGACTGGTTTTAAAATGAAGTCCAAGCTCAAAAGATCATATGCTACTAACCCTAACTGGAAGAACACAAAAGTATTCTGCATACAGATTTACACAAGAAATCATAACTGAATATACTAAACATTAAAACAGCATAATTTTTTGACCACTAGGGGTCAGAAAGACCCATTGGCAGTTGTCATGGCTAACTTGTTACCAAAAGTTTACCTTATCATTCATCTAGTGTCATGTGTCCAGAGCTAACAAGGTGTCTATCATACACCTTGTTAGCTTTGGATCGGTCTCCACCAACTCCTAAGAAAACTGTCTGGCTCTTTAGCTATTAGACTGTCTCGTCAACTACACGCAGTCTTTGTATAACTGCCATTTGGTGCACTTGGTCACTTCTGATGTCAGTCTTATCATATATTCTGTGTAGTTGGAGAACAAAAACGATTAAACTTGCTAGCAGCGATGAGTGGGCCGTCGCACCTCCCGCATGTCGGGATCCAGATCAGTGGGTTGCGCTATGATTATGAGTGAATATTGGCATGTAGATATATTCATTGTGGAACTTTTATCAAACGTGTGACAAACAAGTTTGGGGCTGATCTGACCACATACAGTCAGAAGTCAACGTCATGGACATGCCCTTTGACAACAACTCACAAGTTTTACAATACAGCATCAATATGGTCTTGCGGCTTTTCTGAGACAGTTTTGAGACAAATCGGATCAACCCCCTAAGAGGAATACCTCACAGCATTGTATAAAATGCGTAATTTCCTGTTGCCAGTAGGTGGTGCTATAACTGCGAGTGAATATTGTCATGTAATATAATTCATGGCAAAATTCAACGCCACGCCACGGACACACCGTTTGATGAATCCTAAAAAACGTCGCCGTCGTTGGGGCTGCTTCATTGAAATCTTGTAGGCGGCGCTATAGAGGCCCCTGGCCACCCCTGAGCCCAGTCACTGCAGAAATTCGCAATTTTTGCCAGTCCTACTGTGTGTGCAAATATTCGTGATGTTTCAAGTATAAGTAAAAAAGGCCATGAGAAAGGCATTTCCGTAGTAGAACATTAATAATCCTTGCAAAAACAATAGGTTCCTTGCAATAGGTGCTCGGGTCCTAATTAGCTAAATGAGGCTAAAAGCTGCATAAAGTTGCAGAGTTAGTGTTTATTCAGTGAGTTTGGCTCTACAAAGGACACTTTCAATTGTCAGTTATTAGTTTCTGTGAAAATATCAAAAATATCACTTAATAGAGCTTGATCTTTCTTTTGAAAAGCTAAATTGTCTACAAGTCCTAATTATGTCTAATTTCTTAAAGAAGCGCCAAAATTACGTTACTGTTAAAAAATATCGACACTGTGCACTTCTAATCAATCCTTTGTACACATGAATAGAGGTACAAACACAGACAGAGGTAGACACATAGTAAGCTCTGGATGAAGTCATGCCCTTCCTCACAACAGGGGGCCGCCCGCTCTCACCGGTGTTCTAAAATGACTTTGTTAGCGAGATGAAGCTTTTCTTCAGCCGTTGTGAGGCTTCAGGTACGGCTGAGTGCAGCTTAATGAGGCACCCTGCTTAACCTCTCCCTCACCTTCATCGTTTTTCATCTCCCTCAGCAGCAGGACGCCACGGCCCCCTTTCCCCCAACCCTCTGGGGGAAAATTCATCATCTGACAATTTGGGAGTTTTTGGGAAAAATTGCTGTGTCTTCTTGCTGTGCTCTCAGCCAGCCTTTAAAAGTTTGAAAGATTTTCTCAGCAGAGTGTTCCAACACTGAAACTTTTTATCCTAAAAATAAGGTGTTGCTAGGTGTTGTCAGTCTGTCTGTCTAAATCCAATCTATCTTTGTCAAAAATCATTTCTAGCCTCCGAGGGTCGTGACTCTAGCTCCCTTACCCGTGGATGGCCGTGGCGCCCTGGCAACCATCACCAAGTCGGTCCTGCAGGTCGACGACCCCGACAACCCAGCCGATGTCCTGGTCATGGTCCTTGAACCTCCCCGCCATGGCCGGCTGACCCGTCTCCATGGCGACCGGGCACTGAGCCGATTCAAGCTAGAGGAGCTGTCACGGGAACAGATCCAGTACATCCATGATGGCTCAGAGGGGACAGAGGACGGGGTGGTGGTGCAGGTCAATGATGGGCACAGCTATAGGAACATTCTCCTGCAAATCTACATCAATCAGAAGGTAGGACAGATAGATAGGGAGGATGGGAGATTAATTGATTGATTGATGCTGATGTATATTTATATAGCGACGTCATCCTTTCAAAATTCCCAAATAAGCAGTTGTAAAAGTCTGCATTTATCCACCGATCCTGCATCTAACCTTCAAGATCCTAATAGTTTATTGTAACACAAGTCTAGAGTCTGTTAACCAACTAGAGAGAATCTTTTAACCTTTTTATTGCTTTTTGTAAAAGAAGCCACATTGCATCACTGGTCGAAAAACTGTCTACCATGGCTACATTCAAGGCTTACACTAAGCCCACAACCAGATGCTGCAAAGTTCAAAACATTTTTTTCAAAATCTGAAATTGAAATAAAAACAAAAAGGTTTGCATCTCTGGTGTTTGATGTAGAGTCATCCTGCTCCTCAATGGCTCAGTTCTGCACAGACAAAATACCTGTATCGATCCTCTATTAATACTGGATGACGTTCTCTCCTGGATTTTACACAGCTGAGCCAAATTAGTGTGCTGCACCTCAAAGCTCCAGCGTCTCTTCACCAACTATGCTTTTCAGAATGTCACTCAAGACAGTCAAGAAAGAAAGAGCAATTGATTTTTTCTTTTCCAAACAGACCATCCTGGATGCCACAGAGTAGAAGTTCACAAAAAAATGCAGTAAAAAGTGAGACTAGAATAAGTACATCCATTGACAAGTTCACACAGAAATCACTTGTCAGTGAAATAACACTACAACATCCACTACATGCTATAGTACTTTGTGTGGTATGCATGCAGTGGTATGCATAAGGGTCAGTTATAAAAACATTTTCAGTTGTCCAAAAAGAAACAGGTATTCTATTAGTATTAATAATAACATTTAATTAAATTATTTTTAGGGACAATCAGCAGCATTATCAGAATTTCTCTATCCAGTTTAGACTTCACTTTGAGGAAACATAATACCTTTTTAGTTATAATTGTTTTAAACTCAATTAAATGCTAAGCCTTATGCGTGTTTGATTTATTTAAATAAGCTCAAGGACTGATTTGTATATCTTTCCTCCAGAGGTTTATAGTTCAATAGTTTGGAAAAGAAAGATATGGAATAAATACACTTTGAGTGGTCAGAGTCAAGCTAACTGTATTTCTGTCGGACATGGATTTTGAAAAGCATTATTATGTAGAAGTGGATTTCTATTTCTATTGTTTTAAGTTTGCTACACAGTCACATTATTAATTCTCTGACTTGCTGAAGTCACTGTGTCTAATCATTTTTGACATCTCCTGTGTTCCCCTAAACTCCTTTAATTGCCTCAACTTCAGTGCTCATCACACTGATTCTACTTGACGTCTCCACACAGTGTGCTCCGTTGACTTTATCCCTAAAAATATATTTGGTGGAGGCACAGACTGATCCCTGCATATTTACCCGCCGTTATAGGAAGAGCAGGTCAGGCTTTTAAAATGGCAGCCAATGTCCCTTCTCTGTCATTGCTTCTGGTGAAGTTTTTATGACAAGGAAGCAATCATCTGGAAACAAGCGCCGGCCTCCATGTACAACGGTGGGAGGGGTGGAGCACTGGCACACAAAAACGCGCACAGACACACACACACACACACACACACACACACACACACAGAATGAGAGACAAGGCAGGACCTGCTTCCAATATTCCAGGATGCATGTCGAAGTGTCCTTAGGCAAGATACTGAACCCTGAAATTGCCCAGGATGGCTGTTCCATCAGTGTGTGAATGTGACGTGTAGTGTAAAAGTGCTTTGAGTGGTCGGAAGACTAGAAACTATACAAATCCAGACCATTTACCATTTGATCCACACACACACAACTGACAGACTGATTTACATGCACACATGAATATATTGAGAGAAACTTTTCCAATTTTTTTTAAACCAGCTCAGATTTGGGGCGGCTGTGGCTTGGAGGTAGAGTGGGTTGCCCACTTATCGGAAGATCAGTGGTTCCTGCTCCTCCAGTCTGCATGTCAAAGTGTCCTTGAGCAACATACTGAACCCCAAATTGCTTCCAAATTGCATCGGTGTATGAATGATTAGTTTCTTTCTGATAAGCAGTTGGCACCTTGCACATGTTAGCTTCTGCCATCATTTTATGAATGCGATAAATGCATTTGACTGAGGTGCATGTGACAATGTGAATGGTCGGGACTAGAAAGGTGCTATACAAGGACAGTCCATTTGACACCTCATTTTAAGTGAAAGCAGCAGGTAGAGTGTAATTATGTCTAATCAAGACCCATAAACTAAATGAAAAAATACATATAGCAAGTCTCAAGTCTTTATTAGATAATTGCAATCAAGTTGGAAATGTGAAAGCTCACAACCAATCCAATGACACTGCAAGAGTTACTGCAAATTGTATTGTTATAGTAGTGTTTATACACAAACTCAGACCAGGTCCCTTTGGTGCAGTTTGATGAAATATGAATACAATTGTGCCACCTTCTTTGTGGTACAATATATAGACAAAAAGGCATATATATTAATCTGTCTCTCTTGAGTCCTCAAAATAATACTGAGCACAATGAAAAAAAACATTGAACTCATTGTTTTCTGTTCTTACAGTAAGTTTTCATTAACTCAGCCGCACTCTGGCTGATAGGATTAGAAATACATAAGCTGTGTAGTTTTGGTGTTCCAAAAGCCTAGTTTCCAAGCAGTAGATCTCAAGTTAAGCCTCACAGCTTTAAGTCAAAGTCAATTCTAAAGTCTTTATTATTGTAACTTGTCTGACACACACATGCTACATCTGCCTTACGCACACACGTTAGATGTTGCTCCAAAGATGTATTTTCCGTTTGACGTTCTCTCTTGAGTCAGAAAAAGTAACTTCACTTAAACTTTATACAAAACAACATCTCACCTCACTGCTTGGCAGTTATATTTTTGTCCTTTTAGCAGAGAAACTTTTCAGGGTTTTTTTTCTGCTCACACGGTCACTTCAGTTTGGTTTTGGAGGGCAGCTCTGTTTGTCTGGCTACATACAGATGGTGTGCTTCAGGCTCAACTCCTCTGCGTTTTCCCCTTCTGGAAATCAATATCATCCCACTCACACACATAGCAGTATCCGTTTACTGTAAAATGTCCTGATGCTGCATTCTGCCATACATTAGACAGAGCAGGATGGACAGCATGATGGAAAGTTGAGAGAATGCCCTTGATTTATGAGTCTTTTAGACGAGTCACTGCAGCATCAGTTTCTCCACTGCACAAGACTTCAGTGTAAAAATACTCCATTAATCTCAGATTAAAACACAAAAAGTGGTTGCGTTTTTAATACATTCTGGCATTGGATATGGACATAACAGAAAGTTGCGCATTGAAGTTATAATTTAAATCCAAAATATCAATATCAATTATATTTATATAGCACACTTAAAACAACCAAGGTTGACCAAGGTGCTTTCAGGTTAAGTCTGTCCAATTGTCCACTGTCCAATACAACACCAAGACTCCTCACAGTTGAGCGATTATTTGAAATTAAAGGGCCATGAGAACCTACATGAAGCAGTTCAGGATGTCCAAACACTATGATCTCTGTCTTGTCTCCGTTGAGGAAGTTTAGGTTCATCCTTGTGTTGATGTCCTTCATACAGTCAAGCAGGGGCTGCAGTGAGCCTTTTGTTTTAACATTCAGGGGCAAATAAATTTGAATAACTTCTGCAAAACAGTGGAAAGAGACCTCGTACTTCTCAAAAATGGAGGCCGGGGGCAGTATATATAAAGAAAATAAGATGGGGCCTAAGACAAAACCTTGAGGGACACCACTAGTAAATGGGGCCGTCTCAGAGGAATAATCACCGAGGTGGACAGAGAAGCTCCTATCTGTTAGATAGGATTGAAACCACCTAAGTGCAGTACCTTTGATTCCCACACAGTTTTCCAGTATCAAAGGCAGCAGTGAGGTTTAAGAGCACTAGGACAGCAGAGGCTCCTGAATCAACAGTTAAAATCAAGTCATAAAAAACTCTTAAAAGTGCAGTTTTAGTGCTGTGACGGGGTTTGAAACCAGACTGGAACTTTTCATACACATTATTATTAATTAAAAATGTTTGCAGCTGGGTAAAAACTACTTTCTCCAGGACTTTAGATAAGAAAAACAGTTTAGAGATTTTCCTTTTTTTAGAAGGGCTGCACAACAAGGCAGACGGAACATAACCAGAGACAAGACAGGTATTTATCAATGACAAAAGACATGATCCAAAAGTGCCTTCTAAACAGCAGCAAGAGAGCACTCCATGTACTGTAGAGGAAGCTCAACTCACCAAAATCACATCTCCATTCTCTTGTTTTCTCTGCATCACAGAGCAGCAGTCTGTAGTAAACATGAACACGCTGTGTGCGGTTTACTGACGTTACCCCACGGGGGTTCTGGATATTCAAGTTCAAATAGAAGTTCAAACCTCCCACTGTTATGTGGAACTAAGTTCTCTATTGTAGCTCTAACACTGTAGGCATCCTGCTGAGGAAGCTGCAAACTCAAAGAGGAGTGGCATGGAAGAGAGCAGTGCAAGAAAATTATTACAAAAATAGAAGATAAAAGGCGATAAAACCCAATATCTACTTAAAGAACCCACTATGTAGATTTGATGAACCCTGACTGCTTCCACAAAGTTTACAAATAAAATCCTGAGTGGTAATTGGCTTCGCCTTGATTTTAATAGACAGAGCCAAAGAGTCCCTAAATTTCAGAGCGTGTCACTCTTTGTATTTCCAAGTCCCTCATCCAGGCTGCAGCAGTGGCTGTCGTTGCCAGGCTGTGCCAAGGACAATAGGCTGCCTGAAAGTTGGATTACTGAGTTCAAAAGCAGAAGACTAATCAGGCCAATAATGACCCTCTGATCGATGGGCTTTCTCTCCACTGAGCTTGAGTTCTGAGCTGAGCTGGAGCTCGGCTGAATAGGAAGCAGGACCCATGGCTTTCAATTACTGTCTCAGAGAGAACACTTTGAGCCTCTGAAAAACCCTCGGGCTCTCCCTATTCCCCAGCAGAAATGGAAGGGAATTAGATATTTTTTCTGATCAGCCGTCCAGCTTTGGAAGACTAATAGCTCAGTTCTGTTGTCAAGCAGAAGACAGAGCCTTCGTGGTTTGAGTTTAGTTCTTCTCCTGCTGAGCACTTGTCTTCATTGTTGTTAGAGAAAAAAATATTATGTTTTTTTCTCTTTTAATTAAATTCTACATATCCCAAGTTTCTGATTACATTTTAGATTGCTCTGATTTGTTTGTGTTAAGCCAGCGCTCAGTGTTGCACAGCCCGATGTTTACTTTTGCCACACTCTCTCTCCTTTTAGACACCATGGCGGCATGTCTGAGATTAACTTAGAATTTGATGTCGATAAGGATTCAATCTCCATTCTGTGACTTTCACTTACTGTTTGACAACTCCATCAGCTTGTCCTGTTTACCCCTCTCCCAGTGAAATTATTAAAATATGAGAGATGACAATGTCATTGTCATTACAACAACATGACCATCACAGCCCGCAGCTAGCCGATTTTTATGGATGGCGACGATTTCATCTCAGCAGGGTCATTTATTTCTGTTTTTGTGGACTGCAGCCAACTCTCAGTCCAGCATCAACTCAATTTACGGTCCATCTCGGACCTGCTGGTTAATAGCCCTTTAAGGGTTTGTGATTATGCATATTTCATATATTTGTTCTCAAAAGTACTACGGCTAAGGAAAATATTGTTATAAAATATATTATTAAATATAAATTATTTTATAAATAATATTATAATAATAAAATTATTTTCTGCAGCATCGGCTGATCGCCTAGATTTATCCCACCAACAACTCCTCACCTTCCTTTCATATTTAACCCTATAGATATATTGAAAAGAACAGAAGGAAACAAAAAAATATTTTTATTGAGTCTGAAAGGGAAACAGATTTTTTTTTTACCTTTGACACTATTTTCCCATTTTTCTGTGTCTAAGTGACTAATGGGGACATAACATTTTGACATTTTTATTGTATTGAGTGAGCATGCTGCAGCTGGCAGCCGAGTTAGGAACGTGGGGAAATAGGTTGCTGGTTGAACAATACAGATTTTTCCCTTTAGGGCTAATATATCTAATATATTTTTAGCATAAGCTTTTCTCACAAATGGACATTGGTGACCAAATAATGTTCTGGTGATGAACCACTATCCTGGTGCAGCATGACATAATACAATACTTTAGTTGGAGCAGCATTAATGCATAATTAATAGGACCCATGCAGTATCAGCAGGTGGAAGGATAAGTTCAAATCAAGACTTGAATCTTTTTCTATGTCTCGAGTTAAGGCTTTAGAGTGTCAGATCTCAAATAAGTCAGAGCAGTCAAGTCCAAGCCAGTGTTCATTTTTGCCATTTTGTCTAAAAATGAGAACTTTGTATTGTTATTTCTATTTGAAGGAAGAGGCATTTTTGTTTTTGTGTTACGTAAACCAGTCCCATGATTGTGGATGGCGTTGAAGACATACAGTATATCCTGAGGAACGTGACATTGAATTAACATTATCCTAAGCTTTGCAGCAGCACTAAATATGTTAAATGAACAGCTCACAGACCCTCAGAAACTCTGACAATAGGTTAATGATTGCAGCAACCCCCCTTCTTCTCTGATATTCGTTTAATTCACCCTCTCAGTGACACAAGAATCTGTTTTTCCACTGTCTCTATACTTTGTATCTCGTCAATCTGAAATTACATCAAGCAAATTGAGTTTCTTGCTTTCCCAGAGGTCAGAAAGCAGAGAAATTTCCTTGAGCATTTCAATTTCTTTGCACCTGTCTGAACAAGATAGGGCAACACAAATCTCACTTGGGAAAAACTAATTAGATTTGTGTGTTATTCAAGAAAGAAAATTAGAAAATTACCAAATGAGGGTGCAAGAGTCAGAAAGAGTTAGAGGTATGGGGAAATCAGGAGTTTTGGCAAACTTGTAAATCCTAAAAGGTTCCTCTAACCTCTTTTATTAAGTGCGCTGTTTTTGGATCTGAATGTCCTTGACAGACCTTGTTGGTCAGCGGGAGAGGTTGATAATCTCCTGGATGAAAAAGCCTGTCATGATGACTTATGTGTTTTCTCTTCCTGGGCAATCTGCTGTTTGTCTGCAATTTTTTTGCCTGCTGCTGTTACACTAAAATAGTGTGATCTGGATCCACCGAGCGGCAAGAAAGAGAGCCACTGATGGTCGGTGGGTTGTTATCTGCAAACACAGACACCCACACATGCACACACGTGCTCACTCTTGTAATCTGTTACCACATACTGCCACAGTGTTTATCCCACTGCACTGATCTCCTGCACTAAATGTTCAACTGTCTGTGTGTGTGTGTGTGTGTGTGTGTGTGTGTGTGTGTGTGTGTGTGTGTGTGTGTGGGTGTTCAGTTGAAATGACTGACCTGACACTTTCTAAGACACTCTTTTTAGAGGCTTTATTAATGGCAGAAATGCATAATAAATGTTTGGCCGTCCATCAGTAAACAGTTGTGGGTTTCTTACTTTCTAATAAGCCATCTTGTCTACCTTAATTCATGTTATATCAGTACATATATTTCTTTTGGTCTGGATGCTCTGCAGACCCATCAGTAATAAGTATAAGCATAGGCCATTCTTACAGGGCTCCATTCAACTGTGTGTTCATAATAAAACATTGATTATCAATTCTTCCTTCACGGAAACACATTTCACAACAAAAGGTTGGGCTATTGGGCGGAATTTTTTTGTACAAATGCAATCCAATTGAAAATATATTGCAGTATTAAGTAGGCCAAAATGAGTGTAACTGTGTTGTGGACATGGGGCATTAAATTCATATATCTTATGTAAAAATATTTGAAAGAATACATTACTCTATTTCTTGGCTGTTCCGCCAGTATATGAATGTGTGTGACTGTTAGTTTCTGTTTGAGCACTTAGGCTCAGTGTGTGAATGGTGAATGCAGATGTAGTGTAAAAGCACTTTGAGTGGTCAAAAAGACGCTATACAAGTACAGAGCATTTACATTTAGTCTCAATTCTAACACACTGTACCATTAAGACTAATGTTACCTTAATGTCTTGCCCCCGAGTGTACCTGCAACTTGGATTTAGTACCACCTTTTCAGGAGTGACAACATTTTGGTTCAGGAGCTTGCCACCAAAGCAGAGAGAGCACAGTGGAAATAAAGCAGAACCCATGACAATGGCTTCACCTTGAGTTATGGGTTGTCTGCAATTGATAAGACCTTAAATATTTCTTTCTTGATGTACAGAATACTTTAGGTAAATAGCTGTGAGCAATTTCCCTAAAGTAAGCAAAGTATGACGTCTACATATATTATACATATCATTGTTTTTCATAGATTTCTGCACAGGCAATATCTATCAATATAAAACGTTTTTATATAAACTATTTTGACAATTAGATGACTTTATATCCTTTAACTTCATTCAGATGTAATGTGGAGCTTTTGTTTACAGAATAAACAGCAGGTTGGTTTTATAGATGCCCAAGGAGTATGTCATACCGGTTTTTATTTAGACAGCAGGGTGACACAGTGACTAAGAGGTCTAGTTTCAAAACCTTCCTGACAGCAGGCATCTCCTCTGTTGAAATGTCCTCGAGCGACACTGAATCATCCACCAGCTCTGTGTGCTCTCTGGAACCGATCCTGCTCTTTGTTCTTTGCTTTGGAGGGAGGGCAAGCAAAATGATGAGTTACTCTGTCACAGATCAATACAGCTTCACCAAAATAAATCAAAAAAATAAGATTCCAAAGTTGTGCAGGCAGTTCTTAGACTGAGAAAGCACAAATTGAGTCTTTTATGATACTTATTGGTGGTGCTGACTTTGGGCTTAGCGCTCAGGTGACACTGCTGCTGATTGACAACGCTTTACAACAGGCTTCTGGGACTCAAACCTGAGGTTGCAACAGATGTAGAATAAAACAATCTACACAAACTGTGACAATACACGAAAATGACATCAGGCTGCACCTGAGGAACAAACAACAGAGTCTGCTTCTCTCCTCTAGATCAGTGTCTATAACACAGTAATTCACAACATATTGCTCAATTTACCTTGTATGAAAGTAAATTTAATCTAAATTGTGCTACTGCACCATGGCTAATTCAAGCTTATATTGTTGTTCTTCAAATCAAAAATTATGTTGTACAGAACATTCTGTACACAAACAGAAACAGTACATTTCTGGAGTTGTTCAATCTCACATCAGATCTATGGCTGTAATGGCTCCAACTGATTTTCTTGACAGATTTTATATAGTATGGGAGGAAAAAAATTTTAAGAGAAAAAGAGCTGGATTGTTGGAATGGACAACGACAGGTGAACTACTGAAAAAGCAGTGCAGAAAAATATCCCAGTAATTTTCACTAGTACTAGTACACAAAAACCTAAGGATCTCATAGATTTGGTTAAAATTAATTTGTGTGTGTGTGTGTGTGTGTGTGTGTGTTTGTTTATATTTCAGGCTGCTGACTCTCCTCACATGATGTCTGTGCCGATGACCTGGGTGAAGGAAGGAGGCATGGTGCGACTAGATAAAAAATACCTACAGGTGGACTACAGGGGGGTCAGCACTGACAACATCGTCTACACCATCCACACCTCAGATGGAAAACCCAAATATGGTACAAGCTCTTTAACATTCAGTCACATGTAAAGCCAATTCAAAAGATTCAATTCAAAATGGACTCTTTAATACTTTAAAGATCTGAAAGATTGCATACTTGTTTTTTTTTAGAAGGCTTTATTTGGTTGTCTGCATGAGATACGTTCTTAAAAATCCTGCCGCTATGGGCCAAGATAGAAGTCCATAACACCTGCTCTAACACTAATTCAATCAAACCCTAACCTTGCATTCTTGTGTCTAATCTTAACCTAAACGCAGCCATTTTAAACTGTGTGTCTAAACTCATACATCGTAGAGCTTATATCTTGTGACAACAGTTTTCAACCTTTCTCCTAAACTCGACCTTTAAGTGTGGCGGGATAATCACAGCACTTCTGCCCCTAATTCTGGTGGGAGATGATCTGGGGATCATTATAATAATTGTGTTATGTATAATAACTGAGAGAAATCACCTCCACCTTCTGTGTCCAGGTGAGGTAGTGCTGGTGTCCATGCCAGCTGACGGCCCGGCAGAAGGCTGGCGTCCCTCGCTAACCGACGACCGAGGCTTCACACCTACGACTTCCTTCACTCAGCAGGACGTAAATGACGGCACCGTCTGGTACCGCCACTTTGGCGGGGCGACCAACAGTGACTCCTTCCAGTTTCAGGTCAGTGGTGATTCTAATTCCATTTACACCAGATGTGTTACAGCCATGTTTGTCAGTCATCTGCCTCACTGATGTCTGATTGAAGAACTATGCTTCAGTTTGAATGAGTACAGCTGTCTACATCAACGACTTTACACAGGTAACTGTGACACAGCACACTTTTATGTGCAAGTCTATTATCTATTACCTTTTGAGTGCATAATAGTGATGTGTTGGTCGCTAATGAGACGGCTCTATTAGCAGGCTCTTTTAAGTGAACGGCTGGAGCCGGCTCCCGTGTAAGAGTCGAATTTCATTAGCAGGGTGTTTTTTTTGTTATACCACTAGGATAGTTATTCTTGACATATCATACTTTTTAACCTTCAATGTGACAGATTATTTCATTGTACTGCAGATGAAGAATCTTGAAAACTTATTTCTTGTGATAAATAAAAATTGTAACTTAGGCAGTAACCAACAGAGGTGGTGGAGCCAAAAGTCCCAAATCGCGGAAAGGAACAGAGCCATAGGACCTGGCTACCTTCAAAGAGCCATATTCCCATCACTAGTGTGTAACAATGAAAAAATAAAAATTAAATTTGTAAACAAATGCCAGATGAGTTATGAATTTACCCACAGTAGGCCATTATATGAAATAGTTTTTAAAAAAAACAACGGAGGAATACACTGTCAGGATAAACATGACAAGGTTTTATTTATTTATTTTACTTACTACTGAGTATGCAGTACTACTGCTGTACGTATAAATAATTTGAGAAAACTGATAAAAGAAAATAAACACACTGTGAGACGAGAAAACCTCAGGGGGCCGATAAGCACGGCTCACCCCGAAAGAAAAAGAGGAGGAGATTATGACGGAGACGCATGTTGTCGTCCTTGTTTTTTTCTCTCGTGCCAGCGTTCTCTCTCTGGAGTTTACTTTGAAGTACAAACACTAAGTCATGTTCTCTTGTTCCCTTGTGTTTACCTCCTCTCTCTCCTCTTTTTCCGGACCTCAACCTTTCCAACATCTCTTCCTCTCACTTGATTTATTTCTTTCCCCCTCCTCTTCCTGTCATGCATCTCTGTCTCTCTCCCTCTTTTATCTCTGTCTGTCTCTACTGTTTCTTGTATTATTTTTATTAGCACCATGAAATTATATGGGTATACATCTATAAAAACTGTGCGCTTTATAGGAATTTGTAAAAAAATGTTCTTCAGTTTTTGTTTTGTTAATTTGAAAGCTCATCACTCAGCAGTTGTTTTAATCACCAACCACTTAACAGTTGTCTCTATATTCACTTAGACAGTATTTTGGCGTGTGTCTCCTTTTTTGTTCGATATCATTTATTCCTTCCCAACTCTTCCTTAAGTGCTTTCACCATGGATTTCTTCTCCTTCAGTCCGATCTTTGGCAACTTCCTGTGTGATTCATAGGCACTCAAAATCAACCCATAGCGACTTATCTTGATTAACGTTAATGACACCGAATTACTTGCAAATTGGCTCCAAATCCGAGACAATCCCCGTAAAACCGATGCAGCATTCATCATGCCGCTGTTAGAGCATTTCCATGCCAGCCTCTGCTTCACCTCAACTCCACCAGAAAAACAAAAGAGGCAGCCAAAAGCTTGTAGCTACATCTAATCATCTGTCTCCCTCCGTCCAGCCCCCCACATTTTGGCTCCATCCATCAGGGCAAAGGCATTTCAATTACAGTGCTGGATTCAAATTAAATTCTCAAGTGCCTCATCATTTCGACGGTAAGTGGGAAAGCAGAAATGAGGAAGAGCGAAATCCTTCACAAACTGAACCGCTGGAAGCATTTGTACTGTTTGTCAGCGGTGGCGATTAAACTTGACGGTTTGTCAGGGTGGTATTATAGTCCTCCGCTGGTTATTAGAACTGATTGTTGTGAAATTCACTCTGCTTCTGCTACTGAATGGAAGTAGGCTGCACTGCACTCTACACATACATCTTATGCTACAACAATTCATTTTGCAAATCAAAACCATGTTTGAATCAAAGAGATGGTGATTTGGTGCCCTTGAAATTTAAACTGGAGTAAAAAGTTTAAAAAAAACAAAATTCTTAACTTTCTATCTAAGGAATATCTTACTGAACCTATACAACAAAGAAACCAGACACTTAATTAAATTAAAGAGGATTAAAAACAAAACTAGGAGCTAAAATGGGCTAAAAAGCTCCGTAGAGCTGCAGAGTTGGTAATTGTCTGTGGATTCGTCATTTCAAGCAATGCATTTTATATTCGAGGTAGTCATTTGAATCATTAATATAAAGATAATAATTGGTGAAGCTTTAGGCCCTACTGTGGTTCTAAATATGACACCACCTTTGCCCCTGAAAGTGTACGTACCAGCCACTGGACCCAACGCATGGTACAGGAAATCCAACGAAAGATGCATAAAGTAGTGAAACAGTTTTTAAAGCTGCACTGCAAAGCAAACTACAGGTGGAAACCAGAAGAAAGCGTTTGAGAATGCAATAACCTGCTCTCAGAACTCATTTGACCTGATGTCAGTAAACCTCACACAACAACCTGTTTATTAGCTTTACAGTGCCTTATGCCCTCTTCAGATTGAAACGGGTTGTATTTCACTTGAAGCAGGGACCTCTGTTTAATTTGGCAGTAGAGGTGAGACTGTTTTTTTTTTTGTTGATAAAGCAAGTGTATTTTTATATAAGTTCTTGTTTCGTGCAGTTTTGATTTAAGAATCATAGTATTTCACATTATAAAACATATAATACTTTTTTGTTGAATGGAATCAACTTAATAATCAATAGTTTACTGCTGAAACACTACTTTAAATAAATCCAGCTGACTCAGCACTGACTCTGATGGTAACATTACTTGTGATTGGTGGCGCTGACTCCAGGCTTCATGCTGCTGTTACATTACTCCTGACTGACAGCGCTGACTACAAGTTCTTGAACTTTCTTTCCCTGAAATGCCACTGATGTGACAGGTACAAGCAGCGGCAGCAGAATAAGTAAGTGGTGACAAAAATTGGCTTTTAGAATGAACAACCGAGGCCTCTGATGATGCTTATGTATCAGGGGACAAAACAAGTTGAGGCTACATATTGTGGAGAATCTTAGGTAAGAGAAATAGAGCACCAGTAACACAGTTTGATATAAAAGTTGAAACAAAAAAATGTTTATTTAAGTAGTATGGGGGCGGAGAGGAGCCGAGCCAAAACTCCAAGTGTAGTATTTTCTAGACAGAAAGGCAGAGGGGATTAGACTGCTTCTCCACAACTTATCAGCAGTTCAGTTAATATCATCATACATTCTCATTTAAATCATCAGCTTCATTATAAGCTAGCAGAAGTACAGAGGTGCAGAGGTCTAAGGTCATCACTATAGGAGAGAAGAGCTGAGAAAAGAGAGGACATTCGTGTTGAGGAAGGTGGATATCTTGTACTGTAGGTAGAGCTCTTCTCCTTACCTGTTAAGCAGTGGTGGCTAATACTGCTTACTTACTCCGCCCCTTGGAAGGAAAACAACAGCTGCTCTAGAGTGACGTCAAAGTCGCATCACTTCCGATCTGACCGTCCAGACTGAGGTCACATTCCAAATAATCCAATCTATATCAGATTTGGACCACATATCAAAGTGTCCCAAATCCGAACTGGAAAAGATAAGATTCCATGTGACTTGGCCTGAGTCACTAATGAGCAAAAAATCCAGATTTGGGCCACTTTAGCCTGTAGTCTGAATGTAGCCTATGAGTATGTTTACCTGAGATGGACCTCTCCTCTGTTTCCTACTGACAATCAACATCGATTTCCTTTTACCGTGACCTTGACTTTTCTATAATCGTGACCTTGACCTTTCTTTAACCATAACCAAGTAGTTTCATCTTTTCCTAATCTAACCAAGTGATTTTAGGTATCATAACCAAATTTTAAACATTGCTGTGGCCAGTCAGTATGCTGTCCTATGAGCCACTTTCGTAATAGTCTAGCAGTTTTGGAATGCACTGACGAACGATTATCTCCTGCCCATAGAGGTGTCAAATCAGAAAACATTTATATGGGTCAGTTCAGGTGCTGATGACAAATTAAAGGTTATTATGTAGTTTTCAGCGGCCACTAGCGGTGCGGTTTTCAGATCGCAACCTAGTGTGTGCTCGTACACGTGCATCAGACGATTGAAGCACATGCGATTGGTCTGTGAGTTTCCTGGGCCACTAAACCAGTACAGTAAATGCTAGAAAAGCTGCGCTGGTTAAAATAGAAACGCTCCATCATGAGATAGTAATTCTCAATTAGTCTCAATAATAAATCAGCTGTAGGTTGGCGGTCCGGAGAGAACAGCGGCTGGGTCCGGATCCAGACTGCGGTCCGCCTATTAGTGACCACTGTTGCACCGGATAACATTAGCAACTGCTTGCTGTTAGCCAGCAATTTAACATTATCGAACTACTCAGAGAGAAGTCAGAGGTAACAGAAGCACCTGGCAAGTGGATTGTTGTTATGTGAGATTACAACCTCTTCACACACAGGCAATTAAAAAGTCATTCACTTCATTAAAAAAAACTACATATATACATGCGTTTTTTTGTTGTTTCGTTTGGAGGACTTGTTGGCTTGTGCTAAATATTCCAAATAAACTTTGCAGACATCACTTCCTGTGCGCAGGAAGAGCAACTTTATGACTCATTTGTGGTTGAGCTCGCCTCATTCACAAATCAAAAAAATGTATTTGAACCCTGAGGGACATGTTTTTGAGGGTCTAGACGACAGAATTATTGTTTTCTCTGGAAAAGGAAAATAACTTCTGTTGTAATGCAATGTATAAAATTTATTACAATTGAAAGTGTAATAATTAAAAAAAGTGGATTTAGTAACATACTCTTGAAAACATGAAAGGGAGAATCAAACATTCACTGAATGCTGATAGATGATTAAAATCTGTTAATAATGACAGTTATACAGTTATTGAATGGTTGAAAATAGAATTACTTGCATTACTTTTTCCACATTTTGTTATGTTACAGTCTTATTCCAAAATGGATGAAATTATTTTCCTCATAATTCTACCAACAATACTCCATAATGACAACGTGAAAGAAGTTTGTTTGAAATCTTTGCAAATTTATTAAAAATAAAAAATGAAAAAAAGCACATATACTTAAGCATCCATTTAGAAATGAGGCTACAACATAATAAAATGTGGAAAAAGTGAAGCGCTGTGAATACTTTCTGGATGCACTGTAATTATTCAATGAATATTATCTTTCTAAAAATAATTACATTTCCACATGAATGTGAAATATTGCCCAACAATGGCTGAAAACATAAGCAGAACTCAAACATTTGCTGCAAAGCAGGTCCCTATCAAGTTTGAAACAAGGAGCAATTTTGAGAGTGCCAGAGAATGCTGGGTGTTTTGGAAAAGAGAGGAAATTATCATTATTTTCAATTTACTTCACAGATTTACTTCAAAGAGGTGTTTGTTCTGTCCAGTGCTGTCAACTTACTGAGCAATCTGCTGCTTACCAAAACACTCTGAGGCTCCTTATCTGTCCTTTAATGCACCTTACATTTTGAAACTGAAACTGTATATATGGATTTTACAAAGTCAATTCAAAAGTGAACATGGGTGTAGTTTCTTCAGTAACAGTAATAACCACTCTAACACTGGACACAAATTAGTACTTAAACACGGTCAGCTGAGCAATGAGATCATTAAACTGAATTTTACTCAAATCAGCACGTCCTCCATTAATATTCATGCGGTCTAGACAATCATTTATGGAAAGAAACTGCAGCGCAGCCTGATGCCGGGTTCACTTTCTGTTGTCCACAGTCACTTGATTCTAGCCGCATTTGTTGTATCTTACTTCTGGTGATTCTCAAGAGCCTGTCATCAGCTCTGTCACTCAGAAATAATATCTAATACACAAGCCAGTTTGCAGTGGAAAAACAGACGCTTATTGAGATAATCTGCTGCAGATTGAGACTTCAAACCTCAAGATAAAAGAAGTTTAGAGTGAGTACAGGATGAAGATAATGGAAGAGGGGTATGTCTGGGTGTTTTGAGTGTATTTCTTGAAGATACAAGTTTTCAATCTCTGATATAAGAGTGTGTGTCTACAGGTTTCCACAGAGGCGGCCCCTGTCACACAGAGTGATGCCCAGACCTTCACCATTGGCGTCCTGCCTCAGATCCCAGGATTCCCCCAGCTGGGCCCCGACTGTGACCTACAGATCACGGTTAGGGATAAAAAAAAATGGCAAAGTTAACCAAAACTTGACTTCTATAAAGTAATGCATGCATGTTCTGGAAAACAATGGGTTGTATTGCATTGTAAGCTTTTAATTTATATTTGCATCATTATTTTATTGATCCAAAGGAACAGAAACACATAAAACACATGGTTCCTTCTCCACATCTGGTTGTTGTGCTTTCCCACCTCCTACAGTATAACCCACTATCCAACTATGCCGACCAAATATAGAAATATATAAGATAATAAAAATGTAAGAATAATTAATAAAAGATGAATGAATAAATAAATAAATAAATTCCAAATTGTCAAATAACAATCACAGTAGGCAAAGGTAACTGTATCTGAAAACTTTATTTCCAAAATTGTAATTATCAGTTTTTGAACTAGGAAATCCTAATGCTAATGGTATTTCAACATGGACATGTTTTCTTTAAAAGAAGTGGGAACTCTGTAGCTACTGGTGTGCTTAGACTTCCAGTTGTTTGTGTATGTGGATCCCTCAGTTAAAATCGCATGGGGCACATAAGAGTTGGAGGATGCGGCAGCTTTTGTTTTACCTCAGCGCCTGTGTGTGTGTGTGTGTGCAGGCTCTGGAGGATCGGGTGACAGAGATAACGCCTTCAGCTCTGTCCTTCATTGACTCTGAGACTCCCCAGCGAGAAGCTCATCTACAACATCACCAAACCCCTACCACAAGGCCAAGGTCAGCCCCCACACACATACACACACTTAGCTTTTCCCTAATAATGTGGAAAATATTAAAAGTATTCAAATCTAACTTCTGTCAGTGGGCTGGAGTCTTATAATTAGATACAGTGAGTGAGCTTCTGAGCTTGAGCTTGTGTTTGACTCTGAAGCAGAGTGGGAGAAATTAAGCTACACTGTTCCTCATTAATTATCACTTAAGCACCCATAAACAAGGCGCTGACATCCATAGTTGCTGTGATGGAGCTTCTTACTGATCAGTTTGATTTAGCAGCTGTGAGTTTTACATCTACAAAATCTTCTCTGGACAAATAAAAATAAATGTTAGAAAAGAAGATTTTAAATTCTTGTACGAGCAATTTAGGAGAACTTTAGCCTTAATGTCTTGATCAATGTTTTAGCTTTTTCCAGCTGGGAATACAAGCCAGATAATGACAAACTGTTGTTCATAAGCCTGCATCCGTGGCATTGCCACCCTTTTTTAATTACTGTCTTTCAGTCTGGACTTTTACAAGAATTAATGTTGATTTCCTTTTTGCTGAATTTAATGTGGCGTTCAGAACTGGAGGCATTAATTTCAGCGCTGGACCATCTGACAGACTGGTGTATCATTTTAAACTCTCCGTCTAATGAAAGGGAAAAACGATTCACAACGGGTTCTGTTCATCAACTAATGGACTGATAAATTTGTGTGGAAATCATTTTGAACAGAGCCAATGAAGAGGAGGACAGATTCAGATTAAACAGCATTTGTCATGAACGTTTTATTTTCTGAAATTAGATTTGAACCTTGCTACCCAGTTTCTGTTATATTTGTTCAGATAGAAATGCTAAAGGAATTAAATTTATGTGTACGTGTTGGCAGGTTTGCTTTTCAGTCATCAGGAAGTTCTGTAATGTTGTTGATAAATCATTAAACCCTTAAAACACATAGAGTTTTGTTTTAATATTCAATAGAAACCCACTATCCAACTATGCCGATACATAGTATACATGTTGAACACTAGTAAATTACACAGCATTTTTTTTTACTATAGCACAGAATTATATAGTAAAAAGCTATGCTCGCTATGACTGACTACTAAATGTAAAGAAGTAAATCAGCTTTAAATGGAATTTCAAAATAAAAATGACGTTGTCAGGTCACCATGCTGGCTAACAACGGTACCTAGAAAGCGATGCACTAGTGTGTCAGGTTTATTCAGGAGTATTCATGAAGGGAGAAATACACCATGTATACAGCATATCTGCCAATATTGTTTTCCAAGACAGCCTTCATCTTGGGTTGATGTGCTGGACAGCTATTATATTTCCCAGCATTGACGCCTGTTGATGCAAATGATCTGTATGGTCTGTACTTGTAGAGCGCCTTTGTAGTCTTCCAACCACTCAAAGCGCTTTTATAATACTATCACATTCATTTTATAATACTATCACATTCATTTTATAATACTATCACATTCATCCTTTCACACGCCATCATACACTGAGCCTAACTGCTCAGAACAGAAACTAACTAACATTCACACGCCGATGGAACAGCCATCATGTGGTATTACACTTTCTTTTTTTCTTTTTTTTTTGGCTTTGTCTGCGGAGCAAATGAGATTATTTGTGCCCCCAGCACAGCTTCGCAAAAGAAGGATAAATGTTTGAAGAGAATTGCTTGCTGTGCTCCTTGTCCTCAGGTGCGATCGAGCATCGGGACATACCTTACACACCGGTGAAACATTTCACTCAGGCTGACGTCAATAATGGTAAGATCATCTACAGACCACCACAGGCCCCGTCACACCTTCAGGAGCTCTACCAGTACTCCTTTATCGGTGAGATGCACACACTCTCAAATCAAGTCCTAACCTGACATAAGTGTGATAATGTGATTAATACACTTTCATACACACTCACATACACTAACCTGTAGCTCCCATGTAAAACACTAATATTAGGAGATTAGGAGAACCTGCCAGCTGTGTCACTGGGTAATAGTGTAGCTTTTGGGAGATCGAACAGTATGTGACCTTAGCCCTGTACTCTAGATGATGACAACATCCAGTAATGGATAATTAGCACTTTTTTCCATTAAAATGCCTGTAGTATACATTCTAAAAATCAAATATAATTAATCTGAAATGGCTGCAATGGGCAGATTTATTTTGAAACTGTTTCAGTTGAGCAGCCACATATTGCACTTTAGCTGAGCAGTCTGCCGTCCCCTGCCACAAGTACTTTCTGTGGAAACAAAAAAAAGCAATCCCAGCGTTGCAACACTTTGGTTGGTTTTCTAGGTTTATCACACGTATTATTTTCAGGTGATTTACTATTCATAGAACTGCTACAAGTTCTGATGATTGAATATGTCACCTTCTGTCACTCACTCTGGTGTTTTGGTAAAGGGGGCACACCACTGACTTTACATGTCAGAGTTAATTTAGTAGATAGCGAGAGTACTACTCAGCCTCTGGAAACAGTTTTGTAATGTCCTCTATATCACTTCAGTAGGAGACGACTGTACCAATTAAGGTGAAAATGTCCTTCTTGTAATGTCTGATAGATGAAAATCCTGCCTCTATGTTATACTAGCAAGCAAGACTTAATTATGATTACTAATTATCTGTATATCTGTTTAGAGAACTCTTAATTTGATGATCTGAAGATCATTTAGTCTTTTTGTCAAGCTTTGCCAACACTCTTTAGATTGTTGTTTAAGGTTTTTTAACATTTTGCGAGTCATTTTATAAAACCCTGGATCATATATATTATCGCCAAGCTATCAACAATAAACTTAGCATACACGGTAAATATTGTGACTGGTACAGTGGGAGTTTAATTGAAACAATCTAATGCCGGTGAGACATTTTCAAACTAAATCTTTGATGTTTTTAAGAGACGTGCATTCCAAAAGATAATCCAAGATCAAATATGACTTCAATTTCTCTTAATCTGGGTTTGTGGAGCTCCAGTGGAAAGCTTTGCATCAGTAAGCCGTCCTCATTGCCTCCTGAGCTTTATGCATTATAGCGTCATCCGTTAAGTTTTTATGTTCACTGCAATGCCCTCTCAACTCTGCCTGAATCCGCTGTTTTTTACTTTGATCACCTCACAGCTCAGTTTGCTTTTTTTAATCCCAACAGGTCTGCCGGAGTCGCTGAGTGTCTATTTCACAGGTAAATACTTCATCTTCCCCAATTTAGAGAGGAGGAGGAGGAGGAGGAAAAGAAGGAGGAGGCGGCAAATTGTTTCCTCCGTCTTCTTCATCCTCTTCTCTCTTTTTCTCATTCCCTCAACCAACACATTTTTCTTCCACCGCCTCTCTTCTCTGTCTCATCTTCCCTCCTCACTTCCTCCTCCGTCTTCAATCTTCTCCTCGCTACTCCTTTCTACCCATGATATCTCCGACTACTCCGAATATTTGTCTTCTCCTGTCTTCTCTTTCCTCAATCTCCTTTCCATTTCTTCTTTTCATTCCCCTCTTTTTTCCTCACCCTCTCCCTAGTCTTCTGCTTTCCGCACTACTTTATCTCCATTGTGTTTTCATCTTTCTTGTTGTGACACTTTTTCTGACTGCTCCTCTTCTCTGACTTCAATTTCTCCTGTTCTGTCCTTTCCTTTCCTCTGCACTTCCTTTGGCTTCATGTTTCTCTTGTTTGCCCTTCTGCCTCGGTCTCTCCTTTCTTGTCCTTTCTTGTTTACTTTCCCTTCATTTCAATCTTTACCATGTCCTTCCTCTTTCCTGTCCTTGGATTTGCTTCTCTCATCTCCAGGTTCCTGTCGTCTTGTCTCCTTTCCTTGACTCCTAGATCTGTGCCCCATTTTCCCCTTTTCCCATCTTCTTCTCCACACTAATGCTGCATTCCAGTCAAAGTTGGTGGATGGAAATTTCCACTTGAAATTTCCAACTTCCGACCTCTTGGCATTCCAAGCGCACGACGCCAAACGTAAACAAATTTAACTCTCAACAGTGCCCACGGACACAGTCTGAACGCAGCATAAATCTCTCCTCTCTTTCCCTCTTATTTACTGCTATACATCTTCTCCTGCATTTTAGCTCTGTCACTTTTTGTTGTTTGTTACACTTGTCACTTTTGTGCTGATCTGGCTCGAGTACGTCTTCAGATCCTCCGTGATTTTCTGGTCTGACTCTTTGATTCAGAGAAAACCAATTCTCTTCTGTTTACTGGACGTTTTGATGAAACGCTGCTGCACTCTAACTCGCTCCCCAACTAGAGCTGTTTGGGAAATATGTGTTTACGGGTGTTCAGAGACTTCACCAAAGTGCTTTTCAATTCAGTGTAGGCCTTAAGGGCGCACACACACACACACACATACAGACACGTACGCAAACTTACAGTAGCCTCTTATGCTTCAGTTCTGACCAAGTACTCAGGGACACTAAGTAAAAGATGACTTTTAGATGGTGTTTGCCAGTGTAAAAAGCACAACAGTTACCAACAATCATTTATTGATATGTGGATTAAAATAAGAAGAAAATGACAAAAAAGGTGCATAAATATAAACAGACATACTTTACAGTAACTGACAACATGAGGTAAATAGTTATGAAATAGAAACACTCAACAACCTAACAAACAAACATTACTTACTTTACCAGACCATACTGTACAGGTCAGCAGTATTGTATGTCCAATAAATTATACACAGGATAGTTTACTGCTAATATTTCCATACATAATTAAACATGCAGGACATGGAATGTTGCATTAGTTTATGCTGCATTACTGATTGTAATCAATTGTAATTAATCAAGAGATATTCTACCGATGATCAAATTCTCACCCTCTGTAGGTTGAAAAGGAAGCTGTACAAAGTTTGTTGTTTCCTTTGCAGAGATTGTTACAAAGGATTTCAGTAACTCCAGAGAAACAGCTCCTGCAGCAGAATCCCCTGTTGATCTGTGTGTCCAGTATGTCCCAAACAGTCACCAAATAAACTGTAGAAAATGTAAGATAATTTGCAGGGAATGACATGCTGCGTCTTTAAAGTGATGATAGTCACGATACAATATTTCTTACTTTACTCTGTGGATATGAAAACACTTTCCCACATTGTCTCTCATAACTTTTAGTAATCTTTCTATAACTAGCATTATAGTAAAAATTCACATGTTGCTGTACACATTTCATCAAAAAATATCAATTAATTATATTATTATATTATAAATATCTCTTATTAATTTCCCTTTTTTAAGTCCAGTGAATTAATTATTGACCAGGATAAAGCAGGAAAATGCATCAACACTTATGAAGTCGCAAGTTTTAAATTTGAAACAAACTATTTTTTACTGTGTCCTTGTTAATCGATCACACTATCTTTTTATATTCCAGCGTGATAATTGGCTTGTTGTACTTTCTAGGTTAGTTGATTTTTATTTCAGGCCATGTGTAGAAGTGACAAGTGGAGCCAATTAAGCCTGTTATCCCTCCAAAGCATTTAATTCCGAGTTTCCACCCGAATCCCTGATCAATCGCTTCAGCAATCAATTCAGCAATTGGTTCTGTGTCTCGATTCATGGAGATGTTTAATTACAGCACCTTTGCTCTTACGTTTTTTTGGGGTTTTTTTCCCTCTTGTTTTTAGAGAGTCGTCTTGAGAAAGCCAATTAGCTATTTTTTCCCAGTTTCATCCTTTAAAGGTATTCCTCAGTAGAAGAGCTGGGGAGATATTTTGCATCAGAGGTGTGTGTGTTTGTTTGTTTGTTTGTTTTAGAAAGTCTGGGCCTATCTTGTTCATTTCCTTAGTTTTTGTGTGTCTGTCTTTTCATGTTATGTGCATTCACTTGCATTGTTTTTTATGTCCTTTCTGTGTTTCCTGTATGTGTGTCTCAGTGTCTGACGGTGAGCACACCACTCCGGAGCTGGACTTTGCCGTCCTTCTGCTGTCGAACCATCAGCAGCCGCCGGTGTTTCAGGTTCTTGACCCACTGCTGGAGGTCACCGTGGGAGGACAGGCCACCATAGGTATAAGAAGAATGCACGCACATGCAAAAATACACACCACTAGTACTAATTTCCAAGAAGAGAGGCTGTGGTGAAGAGGTCCAGTAATTGATTAAGTGTTCTGTGTGAGGTAATGAGCTCTGAAGTTCGACCTTGATGATCAACAATACTGGAGAAAGAGACGTGTTTATGTGAATGTGTGTGTTTACAGTCTGATAGAGATAGTGAATTTTCTCCTTCTTCTCCTTCATCTCTCATAATGCTTCTTTCTTCTTGTGTGTGTGTGTGCGTGTGTGTGTAGGCGGTCAGCAGCTCGCAGTGAGCGATGCTGACACAGCTCCAGATGAGCTGGAGTTTGAGCTGGTGGAGGCTCCCATCCACGGAGAGCTGATTAAGACCGACGGCAGCACACACACCAGCATGACCAACGGTGAGATGATACACACACAGACACACACACACACAACACCGATATGTGCGGAGCTGTTAATGTCACAAATACTGACTGAGCACAAAACAAACTTAAGTCAGTCTGGAGACTAAAGAGGCAAAGAGTTTATAAATGCAGATCAGAAATCCGCTGTTAGTATTTCCTCCAGCTGTTCTGGTAGATTCTGACCCCTGGAGGATGTTAAGCGTTATCATTCTCATTGTTTTAGACAACAACATTTAATTTCAACAAGTTTCATGTGATGCAAAAGCATTTTTTGTATTCACAGATTATCATGAAAAAAAAGATGCAAACAAATAAACATTCTTTAGTTTACAATGTAGATATCTATCAGATAGGTGTGTTAATATGTATTTTTATTGATATGCTCTACGGGTTGACCATCTACGCCTTCCTCTTTTAAAAACCTCGTACACACTGTTAGTGGATCAGAAATTTTGTGGCCTCAAAAATTGGTCTCAGGGATTGGTACTTATACCCTGCCTCTCGCCCAATGTAAACTGGGATTGGCTCCAGCCTGCCGCTGGAGCCCTGTACGCAGGATAAGCGGTTGATGATGGATGGATGGATGGATGGTTTGGTACTTATTCTGTAGTTATAAAACTGTCCCTGTACACTGTTAAATCATGACATCATTGATGAACAACTCAATAGCTACACAAAAAACTCAATAGGTCCACAGATAAATACAAGGACAGTCAAAACCAATAACCCACAAACACATACCTCCATTCACACTTCTCCATCCCGTCAGGTGACACCTTCAGTTTCAGCGACGTCACCCGCAACATTCTGCTGTACCGGCACAACGGCCTCTCCACGCAGGACGACACCATCACCATCTCTGTTAGCGACGGCATCTCCATGGCAACCACTGTGGTGCAGGTGGCAGTGCTGGGCGCCGGGGACGACGGGCCGCAACGGGACCCGGCCGCCACACTGTCGCTGGAAGTGGGCGAGAAAAGCAGCACTGTGATCAGGCGCTCGCACCTGGCTTATACTGTGAGTGAGCGGAGATCAATGCTAGCTGCAAATGTTAGCATCTTCAGAGATTGTAGACTAATTTGGGATAACAGAAAATAGAAATGGGACCTGTTATTTCTTTATGCAGGGCTGAGGCAGAATCATTTCATGATAAGAAAGGTGTGTTCTCCAGACTTGTAGTTTCTCTGTCACTGTGCACATCTCTACTAGAATCACACTGTTTTTTTCTCTCACAGGACAACACCTCCCCAGATGACCAGATTCAGATCCAGCTGGTGTCAGTGCCGATGTACGGCATCCTGACCAGGAGCCAGTCCCAGCAGGAGCACCAGGAGCTGAGGGAGTACTCCTCCTTCACCATGGAGGACATCAGCAAGCACAGGATCAGGTAGGAAAAGCTAACAGGCAGCATGTTGGTGACACATGTTAGAAGTTTAAGACAATGTAGAATGGCTGAAGAGTGCTTCAGATCAAAACCAAATACAAAGTCGGGACGATTTTATGATGAACTCATCGTAATCTTTTTTTTGTCTTTTTTTTTTTACTTTTCTTGGTACTTCATGGTCACATCTTGGAGTGTTCTTTTCTTCTTCTTCTTTTTTGGTTCATCAAATAGCCTACCAGAGAAATCATTCCAATGTGATTTGGAAGGATTTTACTTAGCTTCAAAGGCAAGAGTTGCTCAAACTTAAAAAATGCCCAAAAGAATATCCTTGGTGTCAGTACAGGGTTTTAGTTTCCCATGATGGTTTAAATGCTACTTCAAAGGCTTATAAAAACAGAATATCTGCATAAAACCTGCAGCTATTAACCAAAAATGACTTTCAAAAACCCGTAGTTGTTTCCAGAAGCCATCATTGTATAAGTAGTAAAGTTTCATGAGGGTCCATGGGAGAGAAGAGAGCGAATTAGCACCTTTTTAGTTCTTCTATAAAATGTTAACAGCTCCCTCGTGATGACAAATTTTTTAGGAGCTGTGAATAGTCAAATGTGGATCCCATTTTTTTTTGTGTGTTTTTACCTTGACCTGCAGACAGTTCCATCCAGCGTGTTTTATAAGAGATTCAAAAGTGTTTCATAATATTATCAATCCATAGAGAAGTGTAGATCCTTCAACAAAAGTTAAAACATGAAAACCACTTAGACTGAAGTCAAGAGCTTTTTGCAGAACAAGAGGGATATGGTGTTGGTTTGCAAAGGCAACAAGAGGATTTGTGAGCCTTTAATAAAGAGGCTGCTGTAAAAATAAAGGTCCACTCTGTAAGGCTTCTTCTTCACGCTGCAGTCGTAGTCATGATCAATTTCTCTGATTGCAGCTCGAATCAACGGGGATCATTTTCCTCAGCATTACAGCGGAAGAGGAAGCGCTAACAGCTTGCAGAGACATATTGTTTTCTTTCAGTTGAACTATCTTCTCACGAGACGAGAGCTCTATGAACATTAGTTTTGCCAAAATCCAGTAAGAAAACAAATTAGCAGGAAATAATTGAGTTGCCTTTTCCCCATTACATTCAGTGACTCAGCCTGTTGGCATGAGCAATGCCAATTAGCATCACTCTGATATTACCTGCAAGAGGCACTGAGGCCCCAATGAGAGGCATTAAAATGAAATATACATATTCAGATACTATTTCCATAATGCAGGCCCTGAATAGCTTTAGCACAGGACAATCTCCGAGGGCAATCTTCAAATCGCCTGCATTAGTTTTTTTTGTGGCATTGGCTCATACAAACAAGAGCTGGGAATTGTTTTATGAGAATTAAATGGGATTAGAGAAGATTATACCAGTATGAATCTCATTTTATTAGTGCTTTGCAGAGATTAGCAGCTGTATCGTTGTGGGAGTGCTAATGCAAAGCTTTCCCCAAGTCCTCTGTCAATCCAGGACTGGACACACAAACAGATGTTTGTGTATTCAATAGAAGAGACTTATTATATCAAATAAAAAAGTTACTGAACAACATGCAGTAACAATTCTATCTAACCAATACCTTCTTCTACAGGTACATCACATCCTTAGAGACGGGCAGCCAGCCGGTCACTGACATCTTCCACTTTGTTGTTTATGACGGAGATAACAATCGTCTTGACAACCAGATGTGCACCATCACCATCACCTCCAGCCCCAGACAACCACCGATGGTTGTAGTCCACAGCGGCATCAAGGTAGTCACACACCGATATACAGTTTACATACATATACATGAAAAAAATTAAGTGACATTTACCTTTCTGAGAACAGTACAGAAACACACACAACCTACACACACACGCGCGCGCGCGCGTGCGCACACACACACACACACACACACGCACGCACGCACACACAGAGGTCCAGTTCTAAAGTGATCCGAATATATAAAGAATACATAATTATGGATTGTACAGTCTCATACACACAAACTGCACATTGTTATTTCCTCTCCATTACCCTGCCTGCTCCTAAGAGACTGAAATCCTAAAATGCTCTTTAAAAAAAAAATGCTCTTTAAAAAAACAATCTGCTGCTATATTTGCAACAACATTTAATGAGACAAACGAAGCTGAGGAAACGATTGTGCACATGTCACGTGTCACATGTTCCCTCAGATAGCGTGGGCCCTAATATTTCAAATCTTTATTTTTTCAGTTTATCTCGAAGAGAACACGCATCCTTTAAAAGTGACAACAAAAGCGTCCTCTTAATTTGAGATTACCTGTGTGTTAAAAGATAAATAGTCACTGAGAACACAAACTTCTTTGTTGAATCTTAGAACTTTCCTACTAGGGCATCAAATATCCGTAGGATGCTTCAGTTAACTACTTCTACTAACTTATCTGTTCTTGCATTATTTTCCTTTGGCAGTTAAACGTGTGAAAAATGTCTTGAAGTGAACAAGAATGCACAGCAACAAACTCTGAGAAAAGAGCCTGGCTCCAGCTGTGTGGGCACCTGGCGGAGGAGGAGAAATGTGATGTCAGACCTAATGAATGTTAAACTTGTGTTCACTTAGAGCCTCCCGCAGGGATTGATCCTGAATTAGTGCTGCAGAACCGCCCCTCCTTAAAGATTCAAAGTGAAATCTCAAAGGTCTCTACTTTTAAATCTATCTGTTAGTTAGCTGGGAGGCCTTACTTTTTTTGTTATAGACAGAGGACTGTTCTTTTAAGCAAGAACAGTCTCCAAATACAGCACAAAGTGGAACTTCTCCTATGGTTACACCTGTTAACTGTTTGATGTTTTGTGGGAAACTAAAAAGAACATAATAAAGGTGAAATCAAGCATTCAAACATCCTCTTAGGATTTGGATTAAGGTCTCAAATTTGTTGTGTTCCATCATTTCTACATATAAAACAGAAGCCCAAATTAGGATCGCTTCCAAAATCCTGGCAGTAAAGTTAGAAGTTGATATATTCTGCAGATACTCAGATAAACATATGAACTATCAGATAAATCAAGATCTAATGCATTTGTAGAGTCAACAAAGGAAGGTGCTTGTTATCTGATTCTGTGGTTATTACATACAAAGGTTCACACTTTTACCTGCTTAGCTGGAGTGGAAATAGGACTCGGTGCTATTATAAGATGATGTATAAGAATAAATGTACGGTAACCATCAATTATTGAAAGGAATTATTGGAACATGTATAAATAATACCTTTAAATGGTTGTGTCAGGGTTATTGATTCACTTGTTGGATTTCTAAAGCAATCTTCCCTGACCCTGTGGCAGCGGAGTATTTGCTACCAGGCAACACGAAAACTATATGATTTCACCAAAAAGCTGTATAATAATTACGTAATTTTATTGAGTATTCTTCTGGTAAATACAGTCTATTTAGCACAGTTTGTCTCTTTTCTGATCTCTCCCTGTCACTGATTTTGAACAAAAGGATGTCATCAGTACGTAACATCATCCGTCAGTGCTTATACAATCTGTGTGTGCCGTGTTCATAACGTATTACAAGTTCAACCAACTAGCTAGCATGTAAAAAAAGCAAAATCATTTTCAGAGTTATAGCTAACAAGTTATGCTATCCAAATAACCATTTAGAGCCTCACCTTTACCTCTGTTATGACAAACCAAACCCACCCCCTATCTGCAACGTTGTCCATGTAAAAATGATCCATGGAGCAAAACCCAGCAGGATTTATTTGAATATTTTGTTGTTTAGGTCCCAGAAGGTGGCCGAGTGCAGCTGTCTACCAATCACATCATAGTGTCAGACCTCGACACGCCCAGGAAGGACCTGCTAATTTGGCTCCTCAGTCCTCCAAAATACGGCTTCATCGAAAACACAAAGAGAGGTGAGATCTTCTTGTGTCTGTGTGTTTTATTAGTCCTGGGAGGTTTTGAGTTGTAGTAGATGGACTTTTTTTCTGACATGTGGATTTATGCTGGCACCATACTGGAGGATAATTGAGCAGATTTTGGGTCTGATTTGCACCTCTCAACAATTTCTGGGATGTTGCCTGTTCGAGCCTGGTAGCCAATGAGAGTGATCTGACCGGGAAGCATCACCAACCGGATGTTGCGTATTTCTGTAGAGCTGAAATATGGCTGCCCACAGCACAAAGGTTACAGGACAAGGTTGTGAAATTCATCCACAGTTTTCATACTTTTTAGGACAGATAAGTGCAACCAGCTGACAACGACAGTCCGCCTTCATGTTTGTTTTTATCTGAAGTCACATTTGATCACACGTGAGTTTCTTGGAATCGCAACTGTGAAATCTTTTAGTATAAATGGCAAGTGTGTGGTCCTGCGTCTTGACCGAATCGTCTGACATGCGCATTAAATGTTAAATATTGGTTAAATCTCCCACTTTAAAAAAACTCTTCACGAGGCTCATGTAGGGTTACAAATTAGAACATCAACAGACAAAAAATACTGTACATGTATCGGTGCATGTGACACAGTGCTACTCTTGGGTGAATGTACACATTACTCCATACGAATTACTCCAAATGATTTTCACACTCATACGCACACAGTGCCGTTGAATTCCCTGCGGTGCCGCTGCCATCTGTCACAGCTTGATTATGTTGTGGATTAGCACTGCCAGATAGCCAGCTACAGATGGGGCCATTGTTGAAGTCCCAATTTTGACTGCATGCTTGCTCAACCGCTGCTGTACTTTCTTCTGTCCCCGAGAGGAACTGTATAAAAATGAAAAAGGTGAGATGAGTTGCAAAGGAGCTGGTACCCACTGGGAAAATGTGTCATTACAAGAGCAAAATGAAAGTCAAACATCAAAGGAAACACTTGACTGTAGACATAAAATGTCAAAAAGAACACAAGCTTCTTCTCTAAGTAATATAATTGAGCATAATAGTGAATATAAAAGAATATTTAGCCCATTCATTATTTTACAGAATGGATGAGTGTTTGGAGTTTCTTAATTCACAAATACAGTATACAGTAAAGTCAAATATATGGGCTACATGCAGGATGTAGAAATGCAAAACTGCACAGTTAACTATCCACATTTCAGATGATCACATGAGAAAAATACTGCCCAACAATAACACAAAAAAGTTTGGAAGGCTAAAAGATGCTTTGCATTAGCAGAATTTGCAAAACCAACATGACAAACAACATTAAATATTTACAAAAAAAAACTTAAGTCTAACAATTTTAAGTTTGCAACCACATCTCTCTGTTTTTAATGGTCATTTGTCATCACATCACCTGAAGTATGGAACTTTACGCCATGCCATGTGAAGGAGTCTGAGTGATATTAACACGTGACAGGAGTTCATACCTAACCAACGCCATCACAACTGAGCAAACACCATTAAGTGATGAAGGCAGTGACATGCGGTTGAAAGCCTTGGAAGATGTTAGTAAGTGAACATTAAGATAAAAAGAAACGTAAGGCCCTGTTCCTGTTTTACCTTGAACATGCACCCTCCAAATTCAGACTGACAATGCATATAAATCCCAGACACACCAGACCACCCCCATACTGTGAGATTTTTCTTTTTGTCAAACTACAGTGCCCAAGGTCAAGGAGGAAATGTCATGCTCAAGCTAACTCAAAACTTGCTATAATCATGTTTGCAGCAGAATAACATCACTCATCATCATTAAAGCCACTGAAATAATTTATGTTTAGCTTTAACAGTTCAGCAACAGCAAAACATTGAGAGCTGAGTTGAAATATAAAGCAGCACTTCTCAATTTTATTAATAGATGTGAAGCCATAGCAATACAAATGAGGCTCTGCTATATTACACGCAAGAAAGAGTTATCTGCAGATGTAATGAAGGATGAATGCATGAAGTCAGATGTTTATTGTCAGCTGCTGTAGATAAGCAGCTGGAACCAGTCCTCTCTCTCCATGGCCCAGCTGACTGTCCTTGATGGCTGCTGGAGCTGAGGGACAGTCGTTGGTATTCAGCAGAGCCAGTCGACAGTGTGAGGTGACTGGATTGCGGCGGTCACGGGGGGGGGGGGCACAGGGGAGGCTAGTTGGTTTCACTGTCAATGTTTTTGTTTTCCTCAACAAAACCAATGTGTACAGGTTTCGTGTTAATGTGCAGATGCACGGAAACACAATAGGTATTCAGCTACATGTTGATGTCCTGTCTTTGTATGATTACATTGCAGTTATTTAAACACCCAAATACAAAACAGAATGAACACCTGCACACATTTTATGTATTTACATGCAAAACATCTTCTAACAAGACATTACCATTTGCATTTGTGTGTTTAGCACAGACAGGGGCACACACACAGGGACACTCTCTAATATTATCCATTCTAATTTTAATAGCTGGTGCAGAAGACTTTAAACATGCATACACATATAACACTGCATATTCATCATAAAATAATAGTGACTGAGGCTAGAGATGTTAGCTGGTCCATCAGTGCACCCATTACTTTAGGGTGAAACATCTTGATACCAATGTGGATATTCATGGTCCCCAAAGGATTAGTACTGGTGTGTTTAGTCAAGATAAGTCAAGTGAAAGCCATTTACTTGCCTAAAGTTTGTCTCAGAATGCTTTACAAGCTGTACAACATACCACACCCTCTATCCTTAGAGCCACTTTAACTGACCTTTCCTCTGGCTTCACTGCCAGTGCAAAAGTTCTACCTGCTACATGACGTTTACTGAGCTCAGAATGAGATTATTACAAAGCATCCAGAGGTTTTACATTGATTGAATACAGAAGGTGTCAGTGAAGTATTCCTTCAAAGCAACCATACATTTAAAATGTGAAGTATTAGAAATGCTTAAATGCATGAAAAGAAGTTATTAGATGTATATTTCATTGTGAAATGACAGAATTATTGGATTACTACTACAACACGATCACGTCTTTGCTTCATGTCCCTGAACAACTAATTTCCTGTTGTGTCTACCCATATATAGTTTCACAACTTTCATTAGTCTTGTTCAATCAGAGATAGACAGAGATGTCAGCAGTGTTACTTCACTGTTTTGGCCCTGAAATCAGCAGATATGATGTTTAAGAACAGAACAAAAAATGAAGCTGCAGGTGATTTCCCATCCTGATTACGATTCTGCGAGGGTTCCCGCTCAGATAAGAGACTCCCTTCCCTCACCTCATAACAACCAGATGATGGAGATGTAATGTGATTTACTGTTGTGCCTGAAACACGCGCGCGCACACACACACACACACACACACACACACACACACACACACACATCAGCTATTCTCGGCGGAGCCCTGATTCAGCTCACCATGGAGTCATCTATTTTCTGTGACAAAGACACTTTGTCTCAAACTTGAGAGATTTAAAGCTTGATTTTCTGCATTCACTATGACTCTTCCCTCGACGCCATGAGTGCCAGTTCATATCATTACAGCTGGATTGGGATTTGAAGGTGGATTGTAGGGAACTATAAGAGTCTCTCGGTGCATCGACCCTGCATCCAAACTGCCAGACATTTCTAAAGTAAAATAAAAAGACAGTAACAAATTGACAGAATTTATGTAAACAGAGTGTTTTTTAAATACAAGAAGCATCAAAAAGTTACTAAAAAATATATATTATAGACTGGAGATTAGTTTAGACAAAGACAAAGTAACTTCTTACTCTTTCTCACATTTCTAACATATGTGTCTCTATCCTCCGGTCCAGCAGGAGGCTCAGTTGGCGGCTCGCGGCCCGTCACCCCTGATGTGCCTTTCTCTGTGGAGGACCTGACGTCGGATCACATCTTCTATGTCCAAGACAGCCAGCACAAAGCTCGGGACAAACAGGACGTCTTCAGCTTCTACATCAGCGATGGACACAGCCAGACAGAGGCTTTCAACGTCGAAATAGACATCCAGGTAACTGGTTTCTGTGTACTATTAACATAAATCTTCAAGAAAGTACGTTTTTGGAGCAACATCTTGAACAGCAGAGCGTGAGGTGGTGTCAAACTTGTGACTCAAGTTAACATGTAGTAAATATCTAAACATGATCTTTATGACAGCTTTGTGTAACATATATTTAAAACTATCTCCAGCACTTACATCAGGTCAAACTTAATTATTTTAATATCTGCCTCACCTATCAAGTCATACAGCATTCATGCTTCTAACAGGAATAAAAATCTTTTTTGGATTTTGGAGATTCCATGACTTTTCCTCCAGCACTAATCACCATGATCCTCCTCTTGTCACATAAATAATTCATAGTATTAATAGTCGGCATCATGTTAGTTAAAATAACAGCTCAAACTAGTAAAAATATTTAGGCAGAAGTCTGCAGAGAAATATCTTGTTGGTAAAAGTTAGAAAAGCAAACAACACACCCTTAAAGTTTTAAATGAATTAAAACAAAATACTAATTTACTTGACTGTATTCTGAAAATTAGATTTAGAATCTTTGTTGATTATTTCCAGTCATCAAAAGAACTCAATAAAGGTTCTTGAATTGGTTAATTACATTAATTTAAATTGGTTTTCATTTATTACTTATTATCATGTTTCACCCTGGCGACCGAAACACAGACTATTACAGCTGCTCTGTCATCAAGAAAAGTTTGAGAGGAGGACTTTACAGCTGCGCGCTCCATCAGTAATTAAAAAATACAGATTGTCTAACATAGCAGCTCTTTTAAACCACTATCCTCGGTCTGTGCGTGACTTTTAAGAAACAGCTCTGTCCTCCAGCTGTACCTCCTTTTGTTTTTGTTTTTTCAGCCTTAACAAACTCCATCAAAATCCATCTCTTAAGCCTGTTTTATGTCTTGAGTTGAATTGATGAGGCTGTCAGTGAGCTGGTAATATGTGTGGCTGTGGGTGTGTGTGTGTGTGTGTGTATATGCGGTGGTATACAGTGTTTATTAGATAAAAGAATGAGAGTACAGAGAGTGATTTTATATACAAACTTAAATTTGAAGAACCTTCAATAGAAGGTTGAATGTCTCTCTTGTGCTCGACCTGTTGCTGAATAAAAATGTAGCTGTTTCACATAAATTATTAATGCAAACAAAATCCATATGATGGTCATTATGTTAGTGTTGTTCGATTTTCCTCTCCCAGCAGAGTAAAGAGGACAGAGAGCCTGTGGTGTCGGTCAGCAGCATCCATGTGGAGGAAAACTCTGGAGTCGTCATCACCAACTCGTCTCTCAGCGTCCACGACCAGGACACACCAGAGAACGAGATCCTCTTCACCATCATCAGGAAGCCTTCCTACGGTGAGCACTGAGAACAGCACACACACATACTACTGAATATAGGCTTACTCTCAGTTTGTAGTTTATTTGGTCGACTGAGCTAAAAAGAAAGCAGTCTAGTTCAACAACCCTGTCATAAATCCTACCTTCATTCAACTGAGAGGAGTTTTGACTATTTAGTCTATTCTCAGTAAAATGTATTTGACAAAAAAAATCATCAGCACCACAGCCTTCAAAATTACCATAATATTAAATTAACTGAACATTAAAAACTTGAAGGAAGGATGATTTATTCCAGGGCTGTTGCATGAGACTTTCTTAGGTAGGTGTTCCTGATAAACTGAGTGCACAGATGTACAATCTGTCACAATATTTCACTTGATTCTGAGCTCGATTTTAACTCCACATCCTGAATAATATTGTTCATCAAACTCAGGTTTGGTTAGGTCTCTTTTAATGCCAAGGATGAAAATCATGTAACTTGTCAACTCATCAGTATATATATCAAACTGGTTCCACTGTGGGGAAAAAACAGCTGCAATGCAAGTTGCAGTTCAAACAAGTTAAATACATTTCTGCTGCCACTGGAGGCAAAACATTCACACACATACACATATGTACATCCTATGTGGTACTGAATAATGTTGCCTTAAGGTCTCTTTTTTAAATAGGTAGCATTCAAGAAGAGACATTGACAGTATAAAAGCAGTCAAGTAGCAGCACACAGATAAATGCATAAAATCAAAATTACAGTAATTATGGCATCATAATTACGGCTTTTAAAATCCAATGGAGATGTGCTTCATGTATGTATGTATTTACATACATACAGAAACAGCACACACTGCAGTGCAGTCTTTATATTAGCATATATACACACATACTTTATATACTCCCAATACACACACACAGGTGTACTATCACATATTCCTTCTACACACACACACACACACACACACACACACACCACAAACTAATAAACAGCCCAGCAGAGAGTTATGCTGAGGAGTATCCAGCATGTTGATAGTAAATTGTTTTGAACGGGATAAAGATGAACACACACACACTCACTCGTAAACACATTACTCTCACTTCCGACACCCAAACAGTTTAAAACAAGACAAACACGCTGGTCATCCACTGCAGCGCTGCACTCTGACTGCAGCCATTCCTCACGCGCTCACCTCACACGACACACACTCAAATCAACTGACCTCCAAACACTCTGTTTGCCTGATGTCCCTTCACCATCCCAAATTGAGTTTTCTCTCCTGCCTGCCAAAGCCTGGTAGACCAAAAGAAATTGCTTCACAAAAAGATGATTTTTACTATTATGATCTATTATTTTTTTACTCGGCAATCTGTCATCTTATCCAGTTTCAGAACAGTTTTACAGAATCAGGAACTAGGTGAAAAATTCAAATTGTTAAATGAAATTGTTCTATCTTTTACTCCTGGAATAAGTTTTTTAACCAGTCGGAGGACCGGGATCCAGTTTCACATGTTGCTGTCAAGAGCTTACTGATATATATCTGCTTTTCCTTTTACACTCATCCAATCTTCATCTGGTGAAGATTAGGAGGATCATTAGAGTCGCAAAACACCTCTAGTTTGAACATCATTAACATTGAACAGTGTGAAATTACAAAATATTTGATAACGCTCAAAAAGCCAGTTCTGCAGTTGACCCTCGTGTATTATTGCACCGAAAAACATCCATTTGCTACTTGCTGAGTGTTACCTGTCTGCCATCCTGCCAGAACCCTGCCTAGGGACAATACTCATAACAGCACCCCACCCCCTCCAGTAAAAGCACCATAAAGCAGCCGGTGAAACCAAGTGTACCACTACCATAAAACTAGCAGCGTGTAGAGCTGATGGGACAGAGAGTAAAAGAGGAGTGATTTCGTACAGGACAATGAGTCCCAGGCAGCTCATCTTTTTAACTAGCTGCACACACACTCACACACACGCACTCAGAAACACACACAGATTCATCAGGGAGAGAGCGAAAGAGAGACCCTTTCTAACGTAATAAAGACGTCAGGATGCTGCAGCTCTCCAGCACACACATCCAGTTACCTCATGCTATCAAACTTGTTTGGTGTCTGTGTATGGTGCCAAACAAAGTTATCAGACATACTAAAATGAAGCCTGCTATTAGATATTAGATACTGTAAATAAATAAATATAAAAGCCGTAGAGACCACAAGAACGGGAAACAGTACATTCTACAGTACAGTATATTATATTTAATGTCAACATGTACTGAATGATATATTGTTTTTCAGTTTGAAAGCACTGTGTATGCTTTATGTAATATAGTATGTATAAAAAAAATTATAGCTCTTCACAGCTGTATTGGTATTAACATAATATTTTGTTGTGCAGGCCAATAAGTAATAAGAAACGTCAGAAATGCTAAACATATGTTTGAAGAAATTTAGAAACAATGTCTCCATTGCATACTGTAGTTTGTCTACCAGAGAGCACTGACAAGTGAAATTTTTCATTGTAAAACGTCCTGATCAATACATATCTTTTCTTTAATCACTAAATTTAAGGGATCCTTTAGGTTCCAACCCAAATCTGTCCACTCTGAAGCTCAAAGAATTTCACCAAATCACACCAAAAACTGGCATCAAATGTTTGCTCAGATTTGTATTGCTTGTTTTTCAAACAGTTTTTTATTTAAATCATAATTTAATTGCTTTACAACAACGCAGACACATAATACAAATATTTCAGAAGTGTATGTGCAGGAAGGAATAAGAGAGAGTCAGTGTGTGTGTGTGTGTGTGTGTGTGTGTGTGTGTGTGTGTGTCCTCTCATTATGCTCCAGGATTTAGGCTCAAATCCTGTTTAAACCTGGGCTTTGATTTAAGGAGCAGTGTAATTTAGCAGAATCTAAAAAGTCTCATTAGTTTCTACAAAGATCTTTCATGTCCTTTCATGTACTGAATGAAAAACTCAAACCTCCATTTGACTGAGATAATCATGGCACTTAACCAGATGCAGTTTGATGTGCTGCTTTATTTAGCTACTATTAGCATGTGCACACCTATACCATCTTCAAAATCAGAGGTCCATTAATCTTTTACTCCATCAGGCAAACTCCGCAGACGGCAGTTCTACTCTCAGCCGCTGGAGAACGGCCGGGTCCTCACACAGGGTTCTACCTTCACCTACCAGGACGTCCTGGACCAGTTGCTGGTCTACACACCTGAAACCGTCAGCGGGGGTACAGATGAAATGGGTTTCACCCTCACCGATGGCATCTATACCCACACAGGCCATCTCGAGTTCACCATGGATGTCAGAAGGAGCGAAGGACCCAGAATGACCGTCAACAGAGGCCTGCAGCTCCCGGCAGGTGAGAGGGGAAAGGAAGGTTGTATTGGCAATTTATTAAATGAGCGTGAAAAAAATTATTGGATTATTAGTTTTGTGTTAAATCAAGGTCTCTCTATACTCCAAAGTGTGAGAAAAGTCTTAAATTAAGGCCTTGAAAGCACTGAATGAATGAATACATTGAAAACATAATAGCATTTCATTGGCTCCAAGTGTGTTTAAGCAGCTAATGTAGTGTTGTGTTTACTTTTTCACAAGGTTAAATAAGAAGAAAAAGTTACCAAAAAAACTTTGTTCTGATAAAAGAGAAAGGAAAAAAGAGAGAAAAACAAAATACCATCAAAACTCAACAAGGATGAAATAACAAATGAAGGGCCGTCGATAGTTGTGAGTGGGATGGTGTTTTATCAAGGAGGAGAATATTTGTTGTGTGCGAGCATTCAAAGGGAGATAAAGACGTTGAGTGCTCTGAATTATTTCAGGATCTTCATCTAAGATCACAGAGCAGAATCTGAAGGCTACAGACATCGACTCAGACAGCCTGAAGATCAGGTACGTCCTCACCAAAGACCTTCCAGCCGGCAAAATCCAGCTCAGCAAGAACGGACGTGTGGAGAAGATTTCTGTTAAAGGGCCCGTGCAGAGCTTCACTCAGGAGGACGTCAACAAAGGTACGAGCTCTTTAATGGTTGAGTTTGCTTACATTCATTTTGCATATGTCTGCAGCTTAATTATTTGCTGTGTAACTGCTTTAATTTTCCCAAGCAGTTAGTGTTTTGCATGGAGCTGAAACACAACATTGAGCTAACACTGAGTGCTCGTCCCTGTCTTGCAGGGCTGCTGCAGTACAGCCATGAGAAAGGGGAGAAGGGAGGCAGCCTGTCTTTCAAGTTCAACCTGGTCGATCCGGAGGGCAACAAACTGATCGACCAGTCCTTCTTCATCAGTGTGCTCGGTAGGGTTTCCTCCATCCCGTTACCTGCAGCGCTAAAATAAAGGCTGGAGTGTTCCTCAATTTGGCAGAGAGAAGAAGGCAATTACTACAGATTTATCCCTTTGTCCCGCGCGCTTACTGATGCGCCACTGCACTGTAGACCCATCCTGAATATGAATGGTGTGGAGCCACTTCTGCACAAGCCACTGCTGTTACATTTTCTAAATCACAAAAGTACCCAGTAATGATATTTATATCTAACCCACTTTGATAGCTTGTTACTTCTCACTTAAACCTGCAATGCGGAACTTTTGTCTCCCATTCTGGCAGTGATTACACAAACACTGTGCACTCTGCCTAAATGCTGTAGCTACTCTGTCGCTAAAGTTGCTCCAGAGCGAGATTTGCATCATGTCAGTTCACTTTCAGTTCATGTGACATTTATTGGCATGATTGCAGACATTACAACGTTGTTAAAGCATATGAACACAAACTATACTATAATCATAATAAACAATTCTAAATAATCAATATTCTCTCCATCGGACCCTTTGTCTTTAAAGCAAAACACCAGTTTTAAAAACTCCGGCATACTGAGAATACACAGATATATTTGGCGGCTTAATCAGCATTGTGTGAAGTCGTCTGGCGAGGGCTTGAACGTAAACGTAATGGATGTTCATTTATGTGTAAAAGTCCAGCACTCCAGCTTTAAAAGCCACTGGCCCTTCTGCTTATGTTAAATGGTTAAAATGTGGTGAGGTGAGTTCAGTGTCAAACCTTGATAGGCAGGGAACATGGAAAGCTTCCAGCTGATAGTAAAAGGGATGATAGGTTTAATATATAGTACTGCTGAAATGATCAGCTCTACAATAAAGTCAAGTAGTAGTAAATATATGGCTATTTTCAAACTTGACCACAAGCAAAAAAATAAATCAACAAATACCAAAAAAAAACCATTTGGTTTTTCGCTAATTCATATTAAGTATTTGCTGACATTCCTTTAAACCTGTTTATTGTGGGCCTTTTATTGTTAAAAGTAATCAAAGTAATCAAACGTATTTTTTATACTGAAAATATTATCAGTAAAATAGTTTATCGCTTGAGGGAACAAATAAAATATATCAATTAAATTACAATAGCCTTCATGGGTCTTCTCGGTCCCTGGTAACGAAGGCCAGACCAGTCTGGGCAGGTCCAACTTATTTTCAGTCTAATCAGGTTGGTTAGACAAACCTTGTTTTGCCCCGGTTCTCAGGGATCTGTAAGTCTAATACCCGAGTGGATCCGAGCAGACGTGTGCTATGAGCTGTGACCTTGTGGTGCGTTGTCATCATCACAGGAGTCAGATGGAAAGTGTGCTTGACAGCTACTGCTCTTTAAATAGTGGATCACCATGCTGCCGCCAGTCTTTTCTCTCTGTTTGGGTCTTTCTGGGTCCACCGCATTTTGGATCAGATTTAATTCAATAAATCAAAATTTGAATTAATTGTTGCGGATTGTGTTCAAAATTTTTAAAAACCCAGTTTACATTATAAAATTATAACTTCATTTCAGAGATAATTGAAAATTTGTAAAATAAATAAATGAAATGTCAGGGCTGCTTTGTGGAAGAAGAAAGTTTATGCAAATGTAGTCCATTGTCTCATCAAACTTAAGTGTCTCTCAGTCAGCTGGAAGGTTTCTTGTTGCCTGCGATGGCTGAAACTCCACCAAAATGTTATTTTTCCACTCACTTCCTTCTGGGGAGTCAGCCAAACCGTTTGCATTACAAGCTGCTGGGGGCTGAAGGATTGTCTGTCCCTCATGGCTGAACAGCATCCTGATTCTCTCATATCTTACCCAGCTCACTTTGTATCCTGGTCCTCTCTTTTCACTGTTCTCTCAGATGTGACTACTGAAGTTCTTGGTTCATATCTCTTCCTACCACACTGCCCTCTGATTACTTCCCTGCCCTCCTCTCAGTCTTTCCTAATCTGTTTGTCCAAATCTCCCAAACGTATATCAATCTTTCACACATTCTGATATGCCTTACTTCCTCCTTTGCCGCCACCCAATTTATTCTTTTCTGGTTTTATACGTAGTTGTGTCATTTGTCCATTTCTCTAGTTCCTAAAATACCTTTCTTCTCCTCTTATCTCCTCTCCTTCCACGACCAGTCTCAGCTTCTTTCTCCTCTACTGCTTCAGTCCATCCTTTTCATTTTTTACCAGGATGAGAAAGTGACTCTTAATATTTTTATCTCTTCTTGGACAAATGGTTTTCATAAACTCGCGAAAGGCGGCTATGATTTTACTGATAAATCTTTGCTTGGAGGGATCTCTTTCTTTCATGATTTTCCTCTCCTCCTGTGACTGACCGTCTTCTTCTCTCCTCCAGAGGACCGCCTTCCTCCGTCAGTGGTGGTGAACAAAGGCCTGGTGCTGGATGAAAACTCAATGAAGAAGCTTACCACGCTGCAGCTGTCAGCCAGAGACCAGGACAGCGAACCAGGCGAGCTCATCTACCGCATCACCAAACAGACGAGCCTGGGTCACCTGGAGCACTCCGCCAGCCCAGGTAGCAACCAGATCAGTCTTTCAGGTTTTGGAACATTAAAGTATTTACTGGGTCTGTGATCCCTATGATGGAGCCTATTATTATGCCTTATTCTTTACAACAAGGTAACATGTTAAAGGTACCATGTACGGCAATTTAACATCAAAAACATGTCCATACCATTATTTGTGGTGTTAGTATAATCGCTGCAAAAGCGGAAACAGACTGTCAAGCTATTTGCATTTGGCAGTGGTGAAGACTTTATTCACATGATTTGCCTCATTGAAATGTTTCTTTCTTGGAATTTAATAATGTAAAAAGGTTTCTAACTTGTGACCAATGCGGAAACATCTCATAAACATTTGGTATTTGTTCTCCTGCTGCACAGTCAAACACACACTAGGGCAGCAAAACACGTCACTGGCTTCAGAGGCAATTTTTTTACCTAACAATATACACTTCATTAAAATTGCACTTGAGTTTTGTATTTACTCATCTGTACTCGTTTCCTACAAAGGGTCTTAATCACAGCTTTCAGATATGAAGGAAAATCAACTGGACTTCTGGCCAAATAGTTTTGTGTAGTTTATACTAAGTGAAATTAATCTTCTTTTATCACAGAGAACACATAAAATCTCTTTCAACAATCCACTGAAAAAACAGCAACATGCATTATTTCAAAACATGTGCAGAAACCTGCTGTAAAATAATCTGTTAAATCTGAGCTCTGAATGTGAGAAATGAGAAATTGTCAGAACAGTGAAAATAATGTTAAGTTTATGAAATACAAAGATGAATGTTATTGTTTTAGGCTTTTAGAAAATAACATGTTGTTGAGTCCAATTGATTTGCTGCAGACTCATACATCATTAATTCATATACAGTGAGGTTCTTTCAAACACACACACAAAGAGGGAAGTGTAATGAACCTTGCTCCAGTTCCTCTCTCATTTATCTCTGATTTATTCCAGCTGCCCCCGACAAAAAAGACACACTCATACACTCATTGGCATATACACACAGATATTGAATGACTGCAGACTTAACTGAAGTTCAAGTGTGTGCTCAGTGCTTCCCCAAACTCACTTGAAATACTAAAACAAAATATCACAAAATCAATGTTTTATTTCCACTGGGAATTAAAACACCTTCTCTTACATTAACCACAAATATTTAACTGCTTTTATGAAAAAGTTAAATAAAAATAAATTGATGCATCTTCCAATCACAAAGAGGTGATTATTTGCTTCTGTGCTAATGAACAATTCTGAATGGATTCCCCACATTGCTGAGTGCTCTTGCAGCATGCTAATTAGCTCGATGTTAACACTGCTGTCTGATCTTCGAGCATCAGTTCACCCCAGAGCCACTGAGCAGCTCTGGATAATTACCGCTAGCCATTCAGCCAATCTGTCATTCTATGCTAACACACACACCTAGCTGCCTGCTCTTTTGGGATAGCTTGTCAGCCTACTTGGAATGTCAAGGTAACAGCACAGAGAGATGAATGCTTTCTTTCGATGCCCACTTTCAAAGCCAAAGGCTTCAAAAGGCTTATTAACTGGCTAAGGTTACCACACCCCTCTAAGGTGGAGCATTAGTCAAGAGGGACTTGTCGCACAAATCAATGAAGACTGTAACTCACTGCCTCACCTCAAATGTTCTGTATGTTCACTGCAGTCTCTTTTAGAGACAAATTGGGGAAGGGTGTGTAACTCTGACTTCAACAAAACTACAAAAGAGACCAGAGCACTGCTAGCACCTGAAGTGCAGCCTTTCATGAATCTCTGTCCTCAGTGGTCGTGCAGCTGTTAAGCAGTGACATTTTTCTGCCATGTCACTCCTTAGAGACTGCTGTCAACTCCACCAAGCGGATGTAATGTTGTTGCTTTCACTTTTCAAAAGGAAGTATAAATATTAAGTCAGCGGCTACCAGACCGATGTACTTATCCAAGAGGCTTTGTTGGTTCCCCTTCGAGGGAACTCGAACTGCGTCTGTGACGAGACTATGGGAACGCCTCTGTGCGTGGCAGGGCTGAACTATGAATGAAACTACTCCAATCCTATTGGTGTTACTAGAACGGTAGTGTGTGACGGTGTAACCGGAGGGGGTATATAAGCACGCCGGCACATAGGACACATTAGCTTCTTTCTATTCAGCAGGCACTCTGGCTATGTTTAGAAGCTCCATCATCCTATCTGAAGTCGAGACGAAGCAGCAGATCATGTCGACAACAAGTTGTGTAGATCTTGGAACAAACCCTTCTCTGCACGGTTGTCTACGTCCCTCCGGCTGGACTACGACAACGTGACGGAGATCAGACAGCACGGCTACGGAGCGATGCCACGAGTGGAGGAGGCACTGGCTAGCTACCTCTCTCCCAACCTCGCCTCATCCCTCTGGACGCCGGCGCTCCCCACCAAGCCGTGTCGGATGATGTCCGATTTGGTGGGCAAGGCCTACATGGCAGCGGGTCGAGCTGGTGCCAGCCTGCACACAATGCAGGCATACCAGGCCGATCTCCTTTGGGACTGTGACGTAGGGGGAGGTCCCTCTGAGGAGGACCTGACGGAGCTCCGTAGAGCGACAGACTTGGCTCTCCGTGTGACCAAGGAAACGGCCCGTTCCATCGGCCGATCCATGGCGGCTTTGGTGGCTACGGAGCGGCATCTGTGGCTCAACCTATCGGACATCCAGGGGAAGGAGAGGGCTTTTCTCCTGGATGCGCCCCTCTCACCTTCCAAGCAGTGGATGCTGTCGTCAACAGGTTCCAGCACGCCAAAACTCAGGGAGAGGCATTTGAGCGATATCTCCCCTGCCGGTCAGACTCCATGACCGCAATGGCCCCATATTTGTGTGTAGGATTTGTGTGACGCGGCTGGCTGGGCCACCCCTCACACTTTTATCTGGTTTTACAGTCTGGACCTTCCTTCTGCACCCGGCACCCATGCGCTCTCCTCCTAGTCGTGCCGTCAGGTTCTGCACGCTGGGGGCGGGCGGGGTTCGGCGTGGCCTAAGTGGGTATCTCGTTCCCATAGTGGCGCCAACGACGCAGTTCGAGTTCCCTCGAAGGGGAACGTCTTGGGTTACGTATGTAACCCTTGTTCCCCGAGAAGGGGAACGAGACACTGCGTCGGTCCACCACTCCTCACCCCGCCTGGAGTGCCTTGCTTCATAGAAATGGCTTATGTGTCCTTACATACGTAACCCGAGACGTTCTTCTGGCTGTGTAGACTCCAAGGGCTTTAAACAGCTCTAGGTTGTTTACACCTTCGTCGTATGAGAGTTGAGTTGGAAAATATATTATTGTATATTATACTGTATGTGGTCATGAATATAGAAAAGAAAACAATATAAATCAGTGTTAGAATATCCATCATGCTAATCACATCTGCAAGTTGGTTGGCTTGAATACAAAAAATACCAAACTGTGTTTTTTGGCTCCACCCACAGAAGTTAAAATCATTTATAAGGAGACCAGCTCTGCTCTGTGGCATTTCTTGTGTCCCAGTGCCTTACTAACTACTGACTATGTGCCGCGCAGAGGGGGAAAGTAACAAATTACAATTACTCACGTACTGTAATTGAGTAGTTTTTTTTTGTGTAATTGTACTTGTATTTTAAGTAATTTTTTCATGTTTGTATGTTTTGTTTGTACAAAAGTATTGTACTTCGCTACATTTTAAATCACATCCGTTACTGAGTAAAAAAAAAAAAAAGCATGTTCACATGTGGCAAAAGACAATACTGACTGTGATTGTGGAGAGTCCCCAGCTGCAGTAACACATGGATTATGTGTAAAATCAGGAGCGTCGGACTTCATCCAGCCAGAGGCAACAATAGAAATGAATGGCAAAAATAGCATGTCATGTCTTATTAAGAGGAGCCAAGCTTCCCTGGCTCCCCTGTAGTTCGCACCCTGCCTGTACCACAGGTAGTGTGTAAAAGAAGTTTTCAAAGTTTGGTAAGAGGCTTTGCTCAAATTAGCTGAAACAACATCGGTGCATGACATTGGAGATTTTGAAGTCAACATACTAACCATTTAATTCTAACAGGAAAATACATGCCCCATCAGACGTCAATCCAACTGTGACTTCAGAATGCCTCTGCCAAAATGACAAATAAAAGGTTACAAATTTCTTTTTTGAGATCTGTCTGGAATTGTCTTGCCACGATTTATTAAAATATTTTGCCTCCATTTACTTCATACGAACTATTGCGGGCCAGCAGTAACAACAGCAAACTCTTTTTGATTAAAGATATGTGTGAACACACTACATACTCAAAACATGTAGAAATGTACAGTAGTTTAAGCAATAATTTTTATATATAATAAATAAGTTCTCATATAATAAATGTAAATTGGACAGCCTTTATTGACCTGACTCTTCCCCATTGGGCATGTTTTTTTTTAACCTCAACACGTTCTCTGATCTTTTTTATAAGAAGTTTTGAGTAAATTGCTTTTAAAGGCCTTTTCTCTTTTTACTTTATTTGTGAAATAAGAACGTTTTTAACTGTGCTCATACTGTAGAATTAAATCAGATGCACACACAGCATTCAGCCAGTGTTTAATCTTCTGGAAAACAAAAGCTTAGTATTTCCTGTAAAGACAAGTGGAAATGAACCATTGAACCATTTAATGTGATGGGGCAAATTAGCATGTATTATCATCACTGTCACTGACATATATATATATATATATAAAAACATATACGTGAGTACACCCCTCACATTTTGATATCTTTTCATGTGACAACACTGAAGAAATTACACTTTGCTACAATGTAGTGAGTGTACAGCTTGTATAACAGTGTATATTTGCTGTTTCCTCAAAGTAACACATCACACAGCCAGATGAACATTATATAATTTGGCCTCTGATTCCCTGTGTGTGTTGAATAGATGACACAACCTTGGAGGATCATAGACTTCAGCATGTGTCACTCTGTCAAAAGTTGCCGTAAAGAAGATTGATGTTGAAAAGCCTTAATTTCCATTTTCTTAAAGGCCCTTAGTGACGTGCTGAATTAGTTATTGTACTCCCTGTATAATATTTGACCCGGTTCATTGGGAGTTTTTTATTTATTTATTGGAAGTTGCTCCCATCTGCACAGGAAAATAACTTTTCACCCATCCTGTCTGCTTAGGGAAATAACTTTGACTCCATCACCAGGCTGTAATATTTTACTTGTTATTACCTTCATGTCAAAGTGAGAGGTCTGTATATAGGTTATTGAAGACCCCTTCATATAATGACAGACATGTAAAAAACAGTAACTGCCTTATTTAAAATATAGCATCAGGTGATGGGAAAATACTGTTTATAGGACTCACATGCTTTCATTTCAAGGCATTTAAATCTGCCTATACCCATTTAGTATTAATATAGCAATTTATATGGTACCACTTTTCAACTGACAATGGGAAAATGAAATGTTAATAAAATGAAATATCTGAGATGGAAATCAGAGAAAATGGATTTGGCTGAACTTCTGTCCATTCTCTCTTTTGCGTTCATCATACATAACTATTTAATTCAAGTTTCACACACATATGTATCAAATGTAACTATAATTACATTTACGTATGATACAAAGAATTACGTTGACTCCTTTATGACTGTCTTTAAGCATCCAGCCTCAACAAATCATCAGAAATGGAACTCTTATGGCGCAAAATATGTTGATGTTCTTTTTTTAGTTTCACACAGAGAAATGTTTCATTGTCAAACCTAATTAGGTTTCCCCATGTAGTTATCCACAGAGGCGTCAAAGGAGCTGGAGCCTCGTTAAATAGGTATAACATTAGAGTTAGTTTAGTTTATTTGCTCATTAAATCAGTAAAAGCCAAAAAGGTAAACAGAAAAGGAACACGGGATGAGTTCTGAGACAAATGGCAAGGGGATGCTGATAAAACAGCCTGATGTCAAAATAGAAAAGATGAACATTGACTACCAGATACAGAACAATTGGGCTGAAGACAACTGACACTGAAATTAAATACAAGAAAGATTGGCAGAAAAACGTCAAAATGCGACATAAAGCGAGTGTGGCGGCATGTGTTCAAGAGGCAAGAGTAGGAATGTACTTACAAAGAAGGGTTGTATTTTGTGTTTATGTGTTTGTCTCCATTAGAATCAGAAATACTCTATTGATCCCCGAGGTAAAATCTTTTGTTGCAGTTATACCCGTTGCACAACAATGCAATAGGAATAGAAATAATAATAGAAAGTAGGAAGATAAAGAAATATATAAATATAAGAGTATAAATATAAAATATGAAGAAAAATATAAAGGTGTGGATATGTACAATATTTTCATTATTAAAGAATTGTCATGGTGAACAGTGATAATAAATAAATAACAGAAGAGAATATTGCACATTAAATATTAAACAGATAATAAGGTCCAGTTCAATGACTAACTAAGACACTTAGAGGGAGGAGTTATAAAGCTTGATGGCCACAGGCAGCAATGACTTCCTGTGGCGCTCTGTGGTGCGTTTTGGGGGGATGAGTCTTGTCTTGATGAGTCCTGTGTTTGAACAGCAAGTCATGGAGTGGGTAGGAGACATTGTCCACGGTGACATGTAGCTTGGACAGCATCCTCCTCTCTTACACCACCGACAGAGAGTCCAGCTCCACCCCCACAACGTCACTGGCCTTGTGGATCAGTTTGTTGAGTCTGTTGGCGTCCTCTCCCCTCAACCTGCTGCCAGGATAGCACTGGCCACAACAGACTTGTAAAACATCCTCAACATCGTCCTGCAGATGTTGAAGGACCTCAGCCTCCTCAGAAAATAGAGACGGCTTTGGCCCTTCCTGTAGAGGGCTTGAGTGTTTTTTGACCCAGTCCAGTTTATTGTCAATGTGCACTCCCGGTATCTGTAATCCTCGACAGTGTCCACACTGACCCTCTGGATGGAAACAGGGCTCACTGGTGTCAGTGTGTGTACAGTTAGTGTTTTTGTGTAGCCTATATGTGTGTCTGGATGAATCCTGTTTGGGTTCAAGGGAAGAGGAATCAAATATTTCTTGTTGATTGTTTCAACTCGTCTAACAACTATTGGTCTTCTCGCTCCAGGCACCAGAATCAGCACGTTCACCCAGGCCGATCTGGCATCGCGCAGCATCCAGTACGCCCACACCAGTGAAGAAGAGAAGCATGCCGACCAATTCTCCTTCACCGTGTCCGACGGGACAAATGAGGTGAATGACGGGGTTGACTCTAATCAATAAAAAGGGCTTTGAAGACCCATTTAGGGGGGCTGGTTCAGTTTTGTCCAACAATGTGGTACCTGGAAGAAAATTGTAATGATACTTGCTGGCTTCTGCTTGTGACCTCCCATAACAGGTAACAGTCACGGAGTGCATGTCTATGTGTGGACGTGATACATGAGCAGTTCAGCCAGCACTGGCCCACAAGTAATTGCATGGGGCCCTGCAAATCCTTTGTTGTTTGTTTTTTTCTTTTTTCTAATGAAACATAAAGCCTAGAACAGGGGGCCCCCTGCTCAATGGATAGACCATGTCAAGCCAATCAAAATCTCTGCTGGTGACAGCTTTGGAGTCTCTGACTGCATCACCCAAAGAGGGGACGTGTCCGCATCTACTATACTGCAAATACAATTAACGCCATATATAAATGAACCATACAGATTATTTGTGCAAGAATGAGCTCATCTTTTGGTGACTATTTTGAATTGTATGACTGCTGTTAAGTGTTGGGTTGTATTGTTTTTCTGCCAACATGCCTGGTGTCAAGAGCTGGATCACCCTCATTAAAGGTCTGAGGACATAATTCTTGATGAACATCTATTGAATGAAGGCAGGTTTACTACAAATATGTGTGATTGTGTATTAATGTGCAAGGATTATGCCCACTTTATAGATTGCCCTAATTGTCCTGCAATATTGTGGTAGTACAATATCAAAGGGTTTTCATGTTGTCCTCACAAAACAAATATTAGTTTTATATAGTTTTATTTATTTCTTTCCCCAGAGATTTTTAGAAACCCGAAGAAGTGAAAGTATTCAGTATTTCACAGGAAAAACAGTCGAGAACAGTTTAAAATAGCAACATGATATATCATCTTGTGACCCCTTAGATTTGTCTTATTTGTCTAACTATAATATTCAGTATTCAGAAGTCTGTTACTTAGATTAATTCACTGCTGAATCAGTTTGCCACAGCAGTGCTTGGGTTCATGTTTCCACACAGTGAGTCATCCATATTTTAAAGCTATAATGTGTAAAATTGAGACTATTCTCCACCTGTCAAATTCATACTACATACAAAATAGGGGCATGCATATCACATATCAGGTCATAACTGCTGCTAACTTAGCAGTCCTTGTAGCTGATGGAGTCTGGGCGAGCAAGCTCACTTGCACACATCTCCAAGCTGAAACTACAGGGAGGATACCTGAGTTCTACTTTCTGACTATCGCCTCTTGAGGCACGAGTGGTAGGTAGGGGATCCAGTGAGGTTCCTTGGGAAACACATCTACTAGAGTTCATTAGCACCTACAACCCTTCAAAGATTTGGACATATTTAATATAGTGGATTCTTTGTTTTGAACATCTCGAAACATATATCAAAGAGACCCCCACCATGCACACATGCACACCTACCTGCTAGATGCTAGTTCCAAAAAAATCATCCCAAAAACATTATATTTTTGTAGAAGGGAATGCTCTTTTTCCTCAGGAGTAACTGGTCTCAATAGCTAATTTGTGTTTGGGTGGAAATATTTGAAATGTATTATTTCAAGACTATGTTAAAGAGGGCTGGTTTTCAGGTCTGTAGGACAATTGGTAGGCTGTAACAGAAATCCCTCTTAGCCATGTCTACGGATGGAAAGAAGTTTAGGATAAGACAACTCTCTTCAAACAGGCAGACGGGCATGAGCGTGGAGCTTGAGCACTTTTTAATAATAACAAACCCGATTTGGCACGCCTGTGTTCTCAGTCCTCATGATAAAGAATTAAAGGCAGGCAGTGTTTGTCCCCCACATAAAAAGCCCTTCAGACTGCTTTGTCATTGGCATTTTAGCCTGAAATATCTTGCACCAAGCCTTTTATTAAAAGGGGCAGTAAAGATTTTCTGACCCATAGCACAGTAATTACCTTTCAATATAACGCATAAAAATGTTTATGAAATATATTTATATATTTACATAAATATAAATATATATACATGTCAAATCTAACAAGCCTTTTGAGTGGTGTGGAAGTTTCTCTCTAACCCTTCCAACTCCCCACACCCCCAGTTCCCCTCATGCATAAATCTGCCTTGCTAATCCAGACTAATGAGGACCACAAGGACTTGAGTAAACATGTGAGAAAGGTCATTTGGCCTTCATGCCTGGCTGACTACAGTGTGTGAAGGATTTTGTGGCCATTGTAGTGGTTACTGTGTGTGAAGTGGTTTAGTGCTTTTACTTTTGTTAACCCCCCTCTCTCAAGATGGAGAGTATGTTTTGCATTAAAACTAAGTTTTATATTGCATTTTATAGTGATACTAAATATTTTACTCACTGTGTGTCATGAGATGGTATTAACTCAATGGTATAGCAGCACACTGTTTCTGTAGTAACTGCAGCTTGTGCTATTTGGGTTATGTTTTAAAGTTTCCATCAGGCGTGTTGTCCCATTTGTAAAATTTCCACCCTAGATGACAGCATAGAAATTGACTGCATATATATAGTTTTCTCACTTGACTGAAACTTATACTGTAAGTGGCAAATTTTATTTTATCTGTTCAGCACCATTACCATCATCATTGCTCTGAGTCATTGGAAAAAAATGTCCAAAACATTTTCGCAAGCTAAGAAAAAAACTGCCCTGTATTCTGCTTTGACTAAGTGTCTCTTTAGATACTCCAATGAGCTTCAAGGATAGGTTCACATTTTGTCAAGTTTGCTATTACACGTATATTTAATAGTTATTATTAGTCATTGTTATCGTTCTTCCTGCCCATACTGGATGTGAAGAAACCCCATAAATCAATGTATGTTACTCTGTTTCAGTACAATATTCACATATTACATATCTCTTTACATATGGTGTATTTGAGCATGTCAATATTGTTTTAACACTAAAGTAATATTTCCCAGTGAATAAAATGAGCAGTGTTGCCTTAGAGAGATGGAAAGAGAAATTTAGTGAAAATGACATGAAGCAAAAAATACTTCTAGTGGTGACTATTTGGAGTTACATTTACATTGCTTCAGAATGGATTTATATTTTCCTGTGTATGTCGTGTCCAGGTTGCCCAGACGTTTACATTACCATCAAGCCAGTGGACGACTCCCTGCCTCTGCTCCAGGTTCCTGGTATGAGGGTCCAGGAAGGAGTGAGGAAGACCATCACCGAATTTGAGCTGAAAGCCACAGATGCAGACACTGAAGTAGGACACTGGCTTCACAAATCCCTGAAATGCTTCGGCAACCTTCATTATTTATTTCTCTTTTTAATCAGTTTAGAAAGGAGCAGGACCTCTAAATAATAGTTGGATATCAGCAGCTAAGCTGGCAAAACTAAGCTTTGTAAGCTGGCCTCTGTTGTTTAGAAAGACGGCTGTTCTCTACAGCTTTATTTTCTCTGGCAACAACATTTCAAAGACTATTTCCTGTTGCTTAAAGGAAAAAACCCTGTTAATCCCATCAATCTGCCATCTTTGGTGCACTCCAGGAGTTATTTTGTGATTATTGCAATTTCCTGTCTTCCTGCATCTACTTTCTCTGAACAACCTTGCCTACATCTACTGCAATTACAGATTTTCTCTTTATTTCACAAGATGTCTTTTAAAAGCCACTAAATGTTATGTGGTATACGTATATGTACTAACTTCTAATTATATGTGCTAACAAAGCAAAATAAGAATTGCCTGTTCTTCTAGAAAAGATTTCCCACAGTATGATTGTTGAAGTTGCAAAATAATAATGATGAAAAATTTTAAAAATAAACCCTCACTGTTTCACTGATTCTTACTAACAAACTGACACCACACATAACATACTCAACACTCATTCAAACTGTCTCCTCTCCTCCATTCCTCTCCCTCCATTTTGTTCTGCTAAAACACAACGTTGTCCAGGCGGAGTCCATTGTCTTCACTGTCGTCCAGGCTCCACGTCACGGCACCATAGAGCGCACGGGCAATGGCCAACATTACCGGCAGACCAGCAGTTTCACCATGGATGACATCTACCAGAACCGCATCAGCTACAACCACGACGGCTCCAACTCGCTCAAAGACCGCTTCACCTTCACTGTGGCTGATGGCACCAACCTGCTGTTCATGGTGGAAGAGGGCAGCAAGGAGGTAAAAACGTGCACCTGTGTGGGCTTGTTTTACCATATTTGTGGGGTCCAAAAACAGGGAGCCCATTACACTTGTAGGGTCCGACAGCTTTGTTGGAACCAAAATGCTAGACCCACAGGGTTAAAGGGGCTGTGTGTAGTTTACAGTGGCCCCTAGCGATGAGGTTTTAAATTGCAACCACTGCATTTCAAGCGTGTGCTCCTGCGCGTGCTTGAACTCATGAGGGAGCACTCAACTTTACAGTAATAGTTTTATTAGCATGACATTGAACCACCTTATCCATAATAACGTAGCTGGCTGCCCCTGCCTTGCATCACTATAGGCTAGTATAAACAAATCGTTACATCATTTTTTGCAGGCTAAAATCGACACAATACTGGTACACAGGATAGTAATATGCTATGAAGCAACACTGCATTGTGGCCAAGCAGAATTTACCCTTGGGGACAATAAAGTTAACCTAAACTAACCTAATGTGGATCACGTTAGCTGGTGAAGTAATGTGGAAAGACATACAACTATAGTATTTTGCAATAGATAACATGTTAGATGTCACCCGACATCGATCTGATTCTCGTTTGGCCTTATGGGATTCAACACTTAAAACTTTTTCCTTTTTGTCCTCACTGGAAGATTGTGTTGCAGTCGGTGTTATGCTGGGAGCTTGTTGTTTTATGGTGTTAGCGGACTCCATTTTGTTTGCTGTGGTGTTGTTGCTGTGTGTACAGTTCACATTCATCAGGCGAGAGGGGCATGCACATGCAGGATATTCATAGTTTTCACTTGACGTCACATTCCAAAGAAAACGCTCCCTTGGAGGGCAAAAAAGACGTTACTTTCCGCTGCCTGCCAACCAGGACCAAGTGATACACTGTTACTTTGAGTTTGTTACTTTTGCGTTGCCAAAAGGCTGGATGGTTGTTGTGCTTTTGGATCCACTAATCGATGAGGAGACAAGCCTGGGCTGTGGTTTTTAACAGCGGGAAAATGGCAGTGGGTGCTGTTTATGGATCGAAAGTACCAACACTTGCAGTTTGTGTCCATATCTACTGTATCTTTTTCTTGAGTTGAAAGGTGATTCAAATAAAATTTAACAGCTTTTGCGGCGTCTCTACGAGGGAGTCCGGTGTGAGCAGCTATCTTGGTCTGTTGTTTTGCCCTCCAGGTCAACACACATGTCACGTGACTGAAAACTATGAATAGGACGTAAAATAGTGGCAGTTCCAAGCAACAGAGAAAGCAGGCATGTTGTTCATTTTTGTGTGAGGTTACAGTCCGTTTACAAATAGACAATAAAAAAGTGATTAACTGATAAGTGATTTCATTGTAAAACTACATAAAGCCCCTTAAAAGTACTGAGAGAGTTAAGACTTGGTTTTAGGGTTAGTGATTTCAAACTTAGTGATGGTTAAGGTTAGGATCAGGGGAATTCATTATCTCAATGACAGCTCCCCGAATATAGTGACACAAGGCTATAGTGTGTGTGCACTGACATTTTTACCACAGCTGGAAGGCAAAATTTGTAGTCAGATTTTGTGTTGGCGTGTGTGTGTGTGTGTATGAGGCAGCTTCCTGACATTTTTATTACAGCTAGATGATTGAATTAGCAAAGGCCACGGTTGGGTGCGTCTGTGTGTGTGTGTGTGTGTGTGTGTGTGTATTTGATGGTAGATATTGTGTGTGTGTGTGTGTGTCGGGATGTAGGGGTGGTGGAGTCACTGCTCTGACCTTTTTAATGACGGAAGGGGTGAATCAGCAGTTTGTGTGACTGCTATTATACTTCTCACTTTGTGAGGTGTTTTTTTGAAAAGTGATGCTATTTGGATAAGTGAGGCATTATTTGAAAATAAGGGCATTTTGAAAGGAGAAGACATTTTTGGAAAATTAGAACAATTTTAGAAAAGTGTCTGGAAAGCAACGCAGAGTAGTACTTACACAGTTTAGTGTAGCAGAAGTTTTGTAATTTCTTACTTCTTACCTGATAATCATCTTGCAATCCCTCAGATTCATCTTGCCCTCCCCAGTGGCTTGTTGTCTGGGCTAGACCAGAAACCACTGGTCTAGAATGCATTAAAAGAGGGTCCTCACAAGTATGATCTTCAGTACGTGTGTGCGTTAATGTCAGCTTCATGGCGGTAGTTATAGGTATGTCAATTTAGCCGTCCCTCTAGCTGCACTCCGCCACCTGTCACTACAAATGGTCCTTGATTAAGTAAATGACAGCAGGCAGGTATTGATATCCCCAGTCACACACACACACACACACACACACACACACTCTTCCCAGGCTTGCGTTTATTATCTTTCAATTGCCTGGGTTCATTTGGCTCAATGGTCACACGTGGTCTGCAGCTCAAAAGACGGTTTGTGGCCTTAACGTTGCTGGTGTTTAAGGTGAACTTGTTCCCACTGGAGCTGCCGTGTTATTAAATAATTTATGAGCTCATATAACACCCTTCGGATGAACACATCCTTCAAATGGCACCTGTCAAACTTGGCCTTAACAGCATCTGTGTGATGACAGGCTGCTCTCTCTGTATTCCCTCTTGCACCTCCAACATAATGCTGTAACTAGTAATATTGGAGTAGTTTGTCTGATTTAGCCTGTCATCACATCTTGAAGGGGGATAAATCAATAAAGTAATAACCGGCAGTGCTTTTTTTTGCCCCTATAACATTCAGCCTGTATCCAGTTCATGAGAACTTTTCCATTTCCTTGTTTTAACGACTCATTCTTATCAAAAGGTTGTCTAAACGTTTGTCTGTGTGAAGTAGTTCAAAGGGGAAACTGTTGCACAATGAAGTCTCTATGTTATCCGGTGTATCCATGACAGTTTCTGCAGCCAGATGTTGCTGCTGATTTATTTTGTTGTAATTTTTGGAGCACCACAAATTACACTGTATTCACCACTGTTGCATTGCAGCAATCTGAGACACAAATATCTTAAAACCTGGGTCAAAAGAAACTATTAGTAATTGAGAATTGAGATGTGAATGTGTGATATTTTCGATGAACAGGTCGAGGTCCAACAAGTTTTAAAGGGAATTAAAACAACTTAAGTAGTTAAATCCTCTTTCTTGAGACTGTCCATTAAATTATTCTCGAAAGTATATCCACCATCTTCAAAAATCTATTTTTTATTAACTTTTTTGGGATTGCAGATAGTGACGGCTGCACCACAGAAGTTCAAGATCGATATTCTGCCAGTTGACGATGGCACTCCGCGTATCGTCAGCAACCTGGGACTGCAGTGGCTGGAGTACATGGAAAACAAGGTACAAGATCATCTCTTCATATATGTCTCCCCAAACATACAATACATACAGTTTTTGCTCAGTTTCATGGTGATGTTTAATAGCTGTAAAGGGAGTAATGATGGACCCAGTGATGCAGATCTTATTTTCTAATTAATTTACCTTTTAAATTGCCACAGTTAAGTTGCATTGCACTGAACCTTTAAATACTTCCTTCCTGCTCATTGGTCTCAATTAGAGGACTGTGTTTCGCTGGACATTTTACAGATAAAAAGGTTTGAATGAGCAGGAGATGTTGCAGAGTGGTCTGCATGCTTAGAAATTTGTCCTTAAGTAAATGTAAATTTTAAGAATGACTTGATTGTGTATAAACAGCTCTGTTTCTTCTCTGGCTGGCTGTATCACAGTAACTTATTAAACATGTTGTTGTGATCGACATAAGTGCAAAGAGAAGCTCTAGCACTGTGCGCTCACAATGTGTAATTTACTTGCTCCCCCTGCTGGTTTGAACACCTCAACACAATGCGACCACTAGTTTCTATGGCAGTCATTGTAGAAATGTCACCTTGTTCATTTATCCTGAGTCTGTGCCATGTTTGCACTGCAGGTAATTTAGTCTTGGATGTTTTATCATGATGACCCAAGAGAATGTAAAAGGGATATAGTTAATAGATCTGCCATCAAATGCTAATTTAAATTCAAATTTAAATTCAAAACAACTACTAATTTCTTCATTTCCTTCCACTTTGGCAAAAACACTTGGAAAACACTTGCTAACTCATTTGCCGTATAATATATTTGGTTATAGTATATTTGCCACTATAAGGTGGTCATTTACAGTAATTTCTGCTTGTGTCCATCAGGCTACCAACCTGATCACCAAGAAGGAGCTGCTGACTATGGATCCAGACACAGATGATGGACAGTTGGTTTACGAAATCACCACAGAGCCAAAGCACGGCTTCCTGGAGAGTAAGCTGAAACCTGGAAACCCCATCACCACCTTCACACAAGGTACACAAGTTCCATGTCATTTTCTGGCCCTAATGTTTCATTTTTACACCAGGTGCAGCAGGTTGTGTTGTTACATATTTTTAAATCCAAGTTTTTTTTATACAGATTCACTGGTTGCCCCTCTTCTCCTCGTCACTCTAGTTTTTCTTCTAAGACAATTTACTTTAAAGGATTTCTCAATGCCTGCAGAAGGAAAAGTGTATTGTATTTCAAAAGAGAAAAGCAAAAATTCAGTGTGATTTATTTTTTTTTTACTTTCTTATCCTTCAATCATTTTGGAACCCCTTCTCCAGGTACATGAGGCTTCACTGCCCTCTCCTGTTCATCCTGAGGTGATTCTTAGTATTATGGGTACCACACCAGGAGGAAGTTTTGAATTGGAACTCCACTACATTTTTCTTCACAGTGAGAAGGAGTGTTGAGAGGTCAAGGAAGCGCTAGGAAAGGAAAAAAACTTGGCCCCACATGCCAACCTGCCCAGACTCACTCTTTCCTTCACTGAAAGTTTTCTTCAAAGGCACATCAGCAGCCGTGGGAGTGTTTTTCTTCGAATTAGCAGTGTTCTCATCACGAGCCTGCTTATCTTCACCTCTGGGCTGCAGCCAGGGATCAGTGCCAGGGTGCTTTTGTGAAATGTTGATCCTCTAGGCTGGAGAGCAACTCGAAACACGTCACTTTGACTTTTGGATTTTAGATTTGAAACATGTAAACATAATTTCCTTAATGACAACAAATATCCTATTACTACAATAAACACTTACCCTGAGAGAGGAAAAATGTGAAAATAGATGGTTAGATTTACTAGTACAAACTGTCAGCATCATTCCAGCTGTCAGCATTTACTCTCACATTCTGCCATATGCGCTCAACAACATATTTCTGTTCTGGATATTAGTGCTTAAATTTTCTTATCCTTTGTGGTCCCATTTGGTTATATTTTCTGTTCATCACTACAAGTGTTTATTCTGAGCTTCCTGAAGGTCATTTGAACATCTCTCTAGCTCAGGGACTCTCATCCATTTAATGGCTTGCAGCCCCCAATTACAAAGTACTTTTGTACCTTTTCTCCAACCTCCTCTTGAAGTTATAAATGAGCAGAAATTGTGAACCAATGATGACTTTCATCTTCATTTTCAAGTTTTTTATATGTCTCTCAAGTGATGAGAAAAGGGCTGGAGGCTGCAAATTATGGAATCATTATTTCACAGAAAACTCATTCTTCACAGTGATTTGTATAATTAAAATTCGATCCCTGTAGGGACATTATGTTTTTGGTTGTCCCCTTACGCACAGTAAGGTACATGCTGGGTAAAGATCAGTGCAAATTGTCTTGTAGGACAATTGTTTAATTCTGGTTCCCTCTGCTAAATGCCTACTGCAATGTTCTGTGACATTCTTTTGACTTTCCATGTTCTTGTGTGTAATGTGTGATGCATATGATAGACTTTCATTCCCTTTGTGACCTCAACATCTGTAAAAGAAGAGAAACAATAACTAAATCAGTGAAATATAATATAAATATAGAATGTTTGTTCATTATTAATCTGTTCCTTTCTAGCTGATGTAAACTTGGGTCTGATCCGCTACGTGCTGCATCAGAAGAACGTTCAGGAAACCATGGACAACTTCAAGTTCCTGGTCAAAGACAGCAAACCAAACGTGGTCAGCGACAACGTCTTCCACATCCAGTGGTCACTCATCAGCTTTGAGCACAAAAGGTCCGTAATATGTGTGAAGCTTTTACCAAAACCAACTGTTCGCCATACATGTACCTTTCCAGCATCCTTAAGTAAGATAACCTGATGGTTCCACAGCTACAATGTGAGTGAGAAGGCCGGCACGGTGGCTGTGACGGTGAAACGAACAGGTAACCTCAACCAGTACGCCATCGTTCTCTGCCGCACCGAGCAGGCAGCGGCACCTCCACCAGCAGCGTCGGATCTCGTCCGGGCCAGCAGGACTATGTGGAATATGCTGGACAGTAACTGTGCTTTACCAATGTAATTTTTTTCGTTTTGTTTTCATTGTGTTTAGGAAATTTTAAAAACAAAACAACAAAATGTCAAAGCTTCAGCTGCCTCTTCTTCCTTTGGCTCATCATCCATAACTGTTGGTTGAACGAACCTTGACATCCAGTACGCACGTATTGACCAGTACCACAATGTGTCCTGTTAATTCACAGGTACAGTTTGATGAGCGTGAGGACACCAAAGTGTGCACCATAGTGATTAACGATGACAAGGTGTTTGAGGGAACTGAAAGCTTCCACGTGGAGCTGAGCATGCCTGTGTATGCGCTGCTGGGCGGAAACACGCGTGCCATCGTCAACATCAACGACACAGAGGACGAACCAACTCTGCAGTTTGATAAAAAGACCTACCACGTCAACGAGAGCACTGGCTTCATCCACGTACCCATCGAGAGAAAAGGTGAAGAACTGCAGCCCTGTTAACCTTTTTAACTGTCTTCCTATTTAATTTCCCCCTTTTTATTTAACCAAAAGGGACTTTGCCTTTTCGCAGATTCTACATCTGCTTGCTGCGACACTACATTGAGGCCATATGATGCTTTCACTGAGTGATGTATTCATATTGAGGCATTTGAAGATAAAATGCTACACAGTTTGTGCAATTTTCTTTACTGATATACTGTATGTCAGTCAGAGTTAAATAAGGCATGGAGCACAAAACATACCAACCAAAGTTAAACTAAATCCAAGCAACATGTCTATAATTTGGCACAGAGGGCAGTGACTAAAACCCCCAAACAAAACAAAGATAAGCTATACCATCATGTTTAAGTATGAACTCTGACGATGTCATGGCCAACATTCCCTCTCTTGCCTCATTTCCACTCAGGTGACACCTCCAGCACCGTGTCTGCTCTCTGCTACACCGTGGGCAAGTCAGCTCAGGGCAGCAGCCTCCACGCTCTGGAGTCCGGCTCCGACTACAAGAGCCGCGGCATGACCAATGACAACCGCGTCATCTTTGGCCCCGGCATCAGCATGTCCACCTGACGTTAAGCTCATCGACGACAGCGAGTATGAGCTGTCTGAGGAGTTTGAGCTGGTGCTTTCAGACGCCTCGGATAATGCCCGTATGGGGGACGTGACGCTGGCCAAGGTCGTCATCGATGGACCCAACGATGCTTCGACGGTTTCTCTTGGGAACGCCACCTTTACTTTCAGTGAAGATGCTGGTATAAGCTGTTTTCTACATCCACCTGTACACCAAGTAGTTCTTTTTTCCTTCTGCATTTTCCTAGAAGTTTGCAGTGTTTCTCTATCGCCAAGAGAAATTCTTATTAATTATGGCACACTCTCTTTTCATGTCAGCTTAGCTTTACTATTTAGAGACATGTGTAAATTTAATGATGTCCATGGGGAAATTAGGAAGGTGCCAAAGAGAAATTTCATAACAGCTATATCCAAGGATGTAGCATTAGTTTCTTGCGTAGTGCAATGTCTGTGGACCCCCTACCCTTTCCAAGTTATTTACAAAACACTATACATGAAACAGAATGTAAGCATACTACCTGAACATTTACGTAGACTATTATATTGTTTTTACAGTTAGTCGTTACATGGCAGTCTGTCACATTTTAGCCTTTTAATTTCTTTTGGAACAGAGAACACATTTAAAGTGGGAAACACAGGATTGATAGATGCCTTTTGTAATAATTTTATTGTCTAAAAGCAATGTCATACATTACTCGGTAGAAAGATTTATGTTAACAGAGTCCTGCTATAAATACACCTCCCACTCCATCTCTCTGTCAAGCCTCTTCTGCTCTCAATCAATCACTGAGTCTCTCTCTTTTCTTTTGGTGGTACTCTGCTATAGCTTTAATCTTGGATAAAGGAATCAACCATGCAGCATTGAACAGTCTTCATAATTACGCTCAGCAAAATTAGCTGCAAAATTCAGTTTCTCTGTTATGTATTCTGCTACTATTAGTTCATGACTTAAATTACTTTAGAATTGCAGACCAAAGCAGACTTTGGTTACCTAACACTGTGGCTGTCATTTCTGTATCATTTCTATGCCCTAATAAAATGCCCCAATAAAAGTTCTGCTACTTTACATATTTTTAAACCTGCATTTCATTCAGGCACAATTGAAATACCAGTGCTGCGCCATGGCAGTGACCTGTCCTCTGTGACTTCTGTATGGTGTGCCACCCGACCTTCAGATCCCCCCTCAGCCAGCCGGGGGTCGACTACATCCCCAGCTCCAAAGGTGGAGTTCAAACCTGGAAAAACTGAGGAGGTAAGGACAGAGACATCTCACCTACAACAAAAACATATTAACTACAAGGTATCCTACTTCTGTTCCCTTAAGACAACAGACCTGGTCTAGGACACCTTTAAAATCCTTGTAAACGCTCTTGCTTCCTTTTTACAGACCTGCAGTTTGACCATAATGGACGACATCCAGAACCCGTCCTCGAAGGATCTGAGTCTTTTGTGGTATTCCTCAGTTCCCCGCAAGGTGCTGTCCTCCAAGAGCCCTATGAAGCCAACGTTGTCATCACTGACACCTTCCAGGACAGTATGTACACACAATATGACTTAACATTCACTTAAAATCAAATATGCATTAAAAAAAATTATTTCAGGCTTCTACATCACATATGCCTTATGATGATATCTCAATTACATTTACCAGTACTAAGAATTTAGAGTCAGCTTTCTCACAGCCATCATCTCTCCTCTCAGTTCCCAGCATGCAGTTTGAGAAGAGCGCCTACATTGTGAAGGAGAAAGACAGTGTCCTGCACATCCCCATCATCCGTACAGGTGACCTGTCCTTCAAGTCATCAGTGCGGTGTTTCACTCGGACCATGTCGGCCATGGTGATGGACGACTTTGAGGAGAGGAAGAATGCTGATGAGTCACGCATCACTTTCCTCAAAGGAGAAGGTAGAATTTTGTCCAAAATATCTAGATCAAGTCTGTTAGTATCTTTTTTTTTTTGTCAGTTCCTGCCCATTCACATGTTTTGTTTTATTGCCCAGGTAAAAACTGCACCGTTCACATCAATGATGACTCTGTTTTGAGCCCGAAGAGGAGTTCCAGGTGCATCTTGGGCACCACTTGGTGACCACTGGAGTGGCGCATGGTGGGCGCTAGTGACATTGTCACTATCACTATCACCAACGATGAAGATGGTAAGCAGGCGCCTCATATGTGATTTACAGCAGATTTGTTTGCTGTTTGCTGGTGTATAGACGTAGTCTCTGAAATAATGTGGCTCCTGAGTTTTGTTCATGAAAGAAATGTTTGGTAGGATTTGATTTGTCTAATTTCATGAAAGTCATAGATCATGAGAACAGCCTCAACTAAACTCAGATATTAGTTTTATTTAAATATCAGATTGTTGTTGTACTATAGTAGAGATGCCAAAAGGTTTTCTGTAAT